TATATACTCAAAAACGTTGCTGATAGATCGCTCTTTTCCTTGGAAGATCCTATGATTTCTTTCAAAGCAAATAGGCTAAAGCATGGCCCGAACAAAATGCATCCAAAGGGTTTTAACCTTGTTAGAAAATGAAGTTCTCATAGTTCAAAGTTATGAGCATTTCAATCTTAAAAGCATATAGAATTGAATATCATCTCATCTCTTTTGTTCTTCCTCTTTTGATAAGGAAGAGTTTCTTATCAAAAAACAAAACAAAACAAAAGAAAACATAAAGAGTTGAATAGAAAAGGGATATTAGTAGCAGTGTACTAAATTGTTGCAAAGAATTCCCACGTTCTACTCACAAAATGGTCATAAGACAGCTCTTGGAACATTATATTTCCTTTTCATTATTTAGATGAGAAGTTCATATCTTGTTCTAAATAAAAAGAATATCAAGGGACTACAGCTTCAAAAAGAGTGTGTTAAGAACAATGACAAAGAAACGAAGATTCAACCTCACTGCCATTTAGTGTCATGAAGTAGAAATGTCGATGACCATTCAATGCATAATCCTTTTGACGTGCCTCATAAGCATGCATATCAAGGACCTGGGAAAACCCATTAATAGAAATAAAATCATACAACTTCTAACACATATAATAAAAATTATAAGAAACAATTTCATTGATGAGATGTAATTACAAAAAAAGGAAGAGCTAAACCCCATACTTTGGAGGTTACAAAGAACGCCTCCCTTGGACATGAGAATTAATGCCATAAAGGACTTGAAGTACACATTCTCATCACTTACATGATACAACCATCATTATGTTTATATAGCCCGAAATGTAGGTCATAATGAATTTTTATGCAAATTCAAACTTGATTTCACACGTGGATGGACATATTCACATTGTTACACAACTATTTTGGCTTAGAAGAAAGAGTCAAGTCAGAGGATACATGATTGGTTCCACTAATATAATAGTTTCTTATCAGCATATACACTAAAACCAAAACTTTTTGCAACTATCATTTTATTATATTTACCCAACTGGCTAGCGTTCCTATAAGCTACATTCTTTTGTACCTTATGTTCTCATCAATATAATTCCAGTTTCATGTGATTATAGAAAGGAAAAAATTAAAAAGGAACAAATCAAATGAAACAAGAAATTTATATGCAACTCTGACGGAACATGAAAAGTACCAAAGATCATGATAGAGCTTCCTATATGTCTTGTACTATGGATAATGTCACAGTTACCTCTCCAACATACTCAATGAGAAATTGCCCTTTTGATATATTGTCAAGCAACTGTAGCCCATAACCCTTCTTTCCACATCGCACCCACCGTAATTTGGCATACTTGCGTTTCTGGAACTGAAACACATATTCAAAAATTAAATTCATTCCTTCATCTCCTCATGATTGTTAATGATTGGAAAGATTTTCTTTTTGCTTTTGTATCCTTTCGATGGGGTTTCCCCTACCCAACCCCTAGTTGTTGCCCTTTTTGTCGTAAATCGAAATACAATCTTTGTTTATCATTAATAAAAAATTTTATAAAAGATCCATCCTTTCATCACAACTCTATTTACTTAACCAAAAAGATCAATTTAGAGCTCCAAGAAAATGTTGCCATACCTGTTGATTAGAACAAAGGTCTCCACAAGGACATGTACCTCGAACACATTCAATGTTGAGCATTCTATTCAAGCATTCATCCCCACAACCTAATCGACCATCCAAAGCTGGTTTGCAATGACAAACCATTATCTGTTTAAGATTTATAAAAATAAAAAGTCAGGATAATACAACATTGGCCTAGATGCATTCATTCAAAACCTAATTGGCCATCCAAAAAGGTGATTTCAAAATTCTAACAATTACAAATCATAATAAGTTAAAGAACTTATATTTTATCCATAGAAAAGCGAAGATATATAATTTGATTCCCAACCAACATGAGAAGAAAATAATATATAAGAAACCATGCAATAGGACTACAGAAGCAGCTGCAGCAGCAACAGAACTTTACAAGAATGGCATCATCAGGTAAAATAATAATAGTAATAGTAATAATAAAAAGAATAGTACGATCAGGTGCATTAGAACATCAATTCCATCCACTGTATACTTGCCATAAATTTAAATTTTGTTGAATCTGTCTTATGCCTTCTATGTCAACTAAATTCGACTCGATGTAGTAATATTACTTCCACAAGCACAGTCAAAATTTCAAATTTCATTCTTGAACTTCGCACATCAACATTTTGAAGCACAATAAACTGTGCCCAACCTGGTTATAAAATACATGGATCGTATGCTTGGTAAAAGTTAATTTTTTTGTGAAAAACAAAACTTTCAATAAAAAGAATATATACTACCAAATACAAAGACACAAAAAGGAATAAAAGCAGTGCAATAGAAAACAAAAGAAACCCTCAACTAACTTTATAAATATTTCCTCTGCTTATTGCTCCATGAAAATATCAAAAGAAGAGCAAAAAGAAAAATATTCACTATTCCCTCTCCTGCTGGTGCGTACTAAGAATTTGTAGAAGAAAAATCGCCCTTTTGCTCTCTGTTGTGGTGGTTAAATTTTGTATGGAGGTGTTTTAATTAGTTTTTTATGTCCTAGTGCTATCGTGAGAAGACTTGCGATTTTTCAAGGATGTTTACTGCGATTTTCTATAGCTCGTAGATACTTCTTTCCTAGCTTCAAAATTAAGCTGCATGGCAAAAGGTTTTTGTACTCCCTTTTTTATTGAAACTAACTGAAGGGGCCTTATCGAAATTGCCATTAGTAGTGCTAGGATAACCCTTTATCTACTACCTTGTGGTTTTTGCTGTAATGAATTTGCCTTATTTAACAAAAAATAATAATAACTATACAGGTAGACCCCAATTTGATGGAGGAATTGGATAAATTGAATTTATAGAAACAACCCACACTCTATCCAAAAAGAAACATTTGTATCACAAAAAGGTGAAAGGGGCTAGGTGCCCTAGCAAAAGCAACAAAGCTTAAAAACAGACAAAACTCATGAACATGAGCATACAACAAGAATCTTCATTACTAAAGCACCAGAATATGAATATCACCCAAAACCTCACAGCACTGTTCTCAAATGTTGTTCCATTTCCCATTTTCCATGTCTCCCAACTAGTGCACTTGATCAAATTTGATCATGAGATAAACCCACTTTGAAGCTCGGGGACACGTGCATAAAAATCTTAATAATCATTGCTCAGATGAAACATCACTTAAAGAATGTACCTCATCAATAGTCTGAGTTTTACGACTACGGTGCAAAAACTGATTGCTGCTAATGGAAGCAAATTTGTTCTCTTGGGGAACTGCATTCACTGCAAACAAGTACAGCAATCACACTTGGACTATAAAAATAAGAAATGCAGGATAATAGGCAACAGAAGAAAATTATTGTTATCTTTACCCACTAAGAAAAATTGTAATAATTTTGAATTTTATAATGGTATTAAGGCATCTCCAGCAGCATCCAAGTACCTGTTGTTGGATGAAAACTCCCTAATTCCCTATAAGTTAGCCGTTTATTGGAAGCATTTTCTTCCCCAGATTCATCTGATATCTCTAACTCTGCATTAATCTCAGAATTTGACTTCTCTTGTGGGATTGAGCAATCAGCAAAAGCTTTATCCACATTGTCCTTACAGGTCCTTAAAAGACAAACAGCTATAAATAAATAAAAATTATAGAAGAAAAAAACATATCCTTGTAGAATATTAGTTCTAGAAAAAAGGAAATATGATGCATAAAAAACAAAAAAATTAGTAAAGTAAAGACTTGAGAGTACCAATAAGCAACCTAACAAGACAAAAGTTGGCATTTCCCCAACTCCCAACCCATATTTTCTAGTCAACAGCCAGATGATATTTCATCTTATCAATGAAATATTTATTTCTCATAAAAAGAAAAGTTTGCTCATGCATACAAATAATATAGTAGAGTGCCGACTTATGAAGAAGCTAAAATAAGAATTCATTCTAATATTCTTATGCATATAATGAATCTATAAGGAGAACTTTAAACAGTTGGAAAAAGAGTATGAATCACTACCACCCTCGGTGGTATATGATTAATAAATGTGTACCATGTGCAACTTGCATGTCCTAAACTATCAACAAGAGAAGCTGGTATGCGTCGCCATTTATGACAATCATCACAGAGCACCCAAGCATCACGAGGGGGTGTATACTGCTCACTCACAGCACCTTGTACAGAATTCAAATTCACTGCCACTGTGGATGCAATGATGTCATCGCTTTTATCAGGCTTGTCTACAAGGCAATTTCCTAAAACATTAGAGTAAAATTAGAAATAAAATTTCTATTTTCAATGCTGACAGCACAAAAATTGTAGAGCATTTCCAATGCTCATCTTCAGAGTAGAAAAATATATCATCTGCAAGTGTGCTCCAAATCAAACAAAATAGAAGTACCTGCTACTTGGTGACTTTCCATTCCAGTCACAGCTTGGTCACATATAGCCTTCTTGATTTTACTCTTATTAACAGACTTCCGTTGGTAAACCTTCTCTTTAGAAGCATTCTTTATGTTGTTTCTTGAGCCAGGAGCCTTGTACTTGCCTTTGCTTGTTTTAACAGATTTAGAAATTTTAGGATGTTTCTTCCTTGCAGATTGAGTAGGAAACAATGTTTTTGAATTCTCTGATTCAGAAAACACACCGCCAACATCTATTTTGCTACATTCTTTAACTTTGAGAATCCCATCTGCCTTCAAAGCCTCTTCTGGGAATGCAATCTCCGTCGACAAAGGCACTTGCTCCATAGACAATTCCTTACTATTTAAAGAGTAGTTTAAAACATTTGCACCAGTGGAAGTAAATGTCTCACTGGAACCAAGCTGATTTTCCACATTCCGTCTTCTTCCATGCTTCTTTGACGATTTGGACCTATTTCTGCAAGGAGGAGCACTCGAGCCACCCTCCTGAGAACAACTAACTACCTGATTGGACTTTGACTTCTTCCTTCCTTTCTTACTACTGGTAACATTTCCGGAAGCTGCAAAATCTTCTGAGGATGCCAAAACTGAGTCCTGCAAAGTTTCTTGTCGCATTGCTCCAACTTGAATATCTAAAATTGAATTTATCACTTCTGAATCAGGTGAAGTTCCAGGATCCAAACTCCTTGTATCACCTGCCCTTTCTACTGGCTCAACCAAATGAGAGGAAATGCAATGATTATCATCTGCGTGTTTTTCAGATGACTTTTCCGCAATAACGGTGAAACTTGAGTCATTATTAACACATTGTTCCTTCACAACAGAACCATCAGGACATATCTCTTCTTTCTCCTGATTCCTATTATAGCAAAAGATTTTTCTTAAAGGCCCCTCTTCGGGCTTTTGATCGTCAACACCATGGGTTAATCGAGGAAATTCCAAATTACCTTCCCAATATGATTCATTCCCATAATTGCAACTGATACCCTTGGCAGACAATGATGAATCAGCAACCTCTGGAACCATAATGTTCAGAAAATTATGACCCGAATTCTTCCCTAATTTAACCTTCAAACGAATACAATTGGTTGAAGTAGCACATTTTCCTTGGGTCCCTTTTCTTGATCTATGTGAACTATCACTTGCCTGTTTCTTATTCCGCTTGGTACCTCCTTGATTACCTTTAGATTTCTTATTTCCTTGTTTCTGGCTTTGATTTACTAGATCATTGTCACTTTTTTCAAATGACTGAATAATATAGCCCAGTGATCCCCAAGGAGAAGGACGAGCAGGCCTAGATATAGAGCTCCTCCTCTTTCTTGAAGTGTCAAAAATCAGTGGCTGAGGCAATTTTTTTTTGCTTTTCCTAAGTGCCCTTTTTGTCAAACTTTTTTGGCTTGATGCTCTCCTTCGGCCACTCCTCTTAGAAGACAGGACAACTGTTTCGGGACATTTCACTTCAGAAACACAGCCAACTTTCTCTATGTCATTGTTGTCTTGACAACCAACATCGCAAGAATTAACAGAACTAATATCCTTTATTAGAATATCTTCTGCACTCAACATCTCATAAAATCCATCTTTTCCAAAATCAGGGGGCTGAGAAGGCAAGGGCAAAGCTAGTAGCTCAACACAATTGGGGTTCACTCGAAAAATAGCTTCCTCCAGATTGCAGTCATTTTCAATCTTGTGAACTATATGTTCTCTAGCATCACCATTATCATAAGTCAAAATATCAATATCTTCTTCCACGACCTTTGGAATGTACTTTGAAGAATTACTGACATGATTTTCATCGCATCCATCGTTCTCTGGAGAGTGGATGGTTAGTGAACCATCAGATTGCAGGTATTCCCTGATCCTCTGGCAGCCTTGTGAAGGCAACACTTGCAAGCACGATTCAGGATTGCTGTTCATATCAGCTACTTCAGTAACTGTTTCTCCAGAGGTACCACTTAAGCTCTTTCCATCCATCTGGCAAATATACTGGTCATAATTCGCAACTGATTGTCCTACATGTATTGATAGTATTTGATCACTCTGTAAAGGGGACATCTCATTCAACATGTCTGCTACTATTTCAACTGAAGCATCCGTTATCCTGTCCACAGAATCTGAAAATGAACAACCAGCACCATCATTATCCGGCTTGTTTTGTTGTATCTGTATGAAATCACTTGGAAATCCATTGGCAGAAGCTAAATTAGAAACAATTTCACTGACATGAGAAGGAGATTTTAAGTCATCTGTACAAGTACCCATTTGTTCTAAAATTGGACTATCGTCTACAGTGTCATCTCTTTCAACTTTTGAAGACTCAGCAATTACACAACTATTATCATCCAGTTCATCAGGCTTGACACAGTTTGCCGATGACCCAGTCAAGGACACCATATCCATGGTCGTTCTACAGCCTGAGATACCAACTATACCATCGACATCTTGAGACTCTTTCGTATCCAAGCTCAATGTTCTATTCTCCAAGTTGCAAGCGTCATTCTCCTCGTTTAGAAAGGGATCACTGACGCCGGAATCACTATCCAACCTTTCATCCAATATTAAAGTATCTGCATGTTCGGAGCCTCTGAATGTCCCATCCTCCCCAGCAGCAGCTGGCTCTGATGAATTCGTGCAGATATTAGTCGCTAGCGCTCCCAGTCCCCTATCTGATTCAAACATCTGACCCTCACTATAATTAGATGGACAGGAAGTCATCTTCTGACGAGACTGCTGCTTGGGAAGAGGTTGACTCGAACAGCGGACCAACTGAGTAACAGAGCCTCGAAACGGTTCCCCGATCACAGCCGGGTCGTCACATGAACCCATCTATCTTGTCGACAACGAAAACCAATCGACACCCATAACCCGAAAATTGCATAGAGTGACGAGATAGAAGACTACAACGTGATTAACCCGAAACAAGTGTAATGTGTGTATCAATCTCCTTCAATCAAATCCCGGTTCCGCTAGCTCACAGCATGTTCAATCGAGCAAAACAAGATACTCCCGTTGCATTCAAGAGGAATTCCAATGGCCAGATAACACACCTAGAATGGCATTAGCCAGACTCCCTGCAAGCATTAAAACCCTAATTTCAGAATTTTCAAAGGCAATGCAGAAACATTGGCGCCGTAAAACACACAGTTCTGCCAACAACGAAAGCAAATAAAGAGTCGGAAAGAATTAAAGAAAAACGGGAAATTACCTGCCGCGATGACGAAATTGAGTAAACGGATGAACTTACGCAGTTTTCAATGGCGTCCAATCTGCTTCTCTTAGGAAATCCGATTGCAAAGGGAGAGGGAAAAAAGAGAGAGAGAAATAGAAAAGGAATCAACGAGAGATGTTTACGCCTTATAAACGTTCTTCTAACAAGAGTTTCCGACCGAGGGGAGGAATTTGGTGTTGATTGGTAGTCGGTAGAGACCGTTTAGCCCTACACGCTCTGATCGTACGTTTTGGGGTATTTTCGTAATTTTATCACCCTTTCCTGGTTCCTGCTGCGTACTGCATATGGGAGTTCTGTTCAAGCATGAATTATTCTAAGACTCGGCCTCGGCCAGATAAGTTTTCTTATAAATAATAATAATTAATATCAATTAATCCTTTTTATATATATAAACATTAATTAATCGTGTATCTATGTTTTAAGTTAAATTATAATTGCCAACATGAGCATACTCGGTCGTAATTGATATGTACACCTTCCTTTGAGGTTGGAGGTTCGATTCTCCGTATTCACAATGTTATACTAAAAATTTCTTTTTTTCTAATCCTTTTGTTTACATTTCAACGATGCAGGGAGTGAAGTGGGGTTAATATTTTGATAAAAAAATAAAAGTAAATGGACCATAATAATCATCTTTTAGAGATATAGACTAAAATCGACATTTTGAAATTACAATTGTTATGGGCTAAATGAATAGGACTCGACAAAAGGATAAGAAGACGAACATGAGCCGGATATAAAAGGGCCCAACTACACGAGTCGACCGAGCAAAGGACGAGAGGCCTAGATCAGCTAGGTACGACCCCTGTTCCGTGCTAATTAGAGTAGTTATCGGCTGTGGGTTGAGAACTCGTATAAGTTCTCTCCGGCTATTTTACATAGCTCAGTCCAAGTGGGCCAAGGATTCGACATCCTGATTGACCGAGAGTGGGGCAAGTCCAGTAGAGAATATCTCCACAAAGATATCAGGAGAAATCCCTATAAATAAGATAATAGACCAAATCCTAGAGGTATATCGAGAATACTCTCTACACTCCATACTCAACTCCTACGTTGATTTAGTTGTGATTCTGTTTTGCATGTTTCATCGATCCCGTCATAATTTTAACCTCAACTGACAATACAAAGATCAAGCTATTTGAAGTTGTACCAAGTAGTCAAATATTATCATACTATGCATAGCTTTTTTTAATTCAAAAAACAATGAGGTGAAGATTTTAACCCACTACCTTTTAGTTTGGATATATGTCTCGACCAATTGAACATTCACGATCGCATCAAACTATTTAGGGATCAATTTCAACTAATAAAAAAAGTGAATTTAATTAACATTTTCTAAAACTTTATTATTTAAATTCTCCTGCATTTATACGATCTTATAATATTTTTAAATTTTGGTTGGACTTCCTTATGTCGCATCCATGTCTCTTCATTTGAGATGTAATAAATAGAAATTGTTATTATTGTTATTGTTATTTTTAAGACATATGGAGTGGGGTTTCGAATTCACGGACGAAGTGCTATGAGCTATACTATTGACAATAATTTTATTTTTCTCAACTAAAAATACCTTAAAAGGCATGTGATGATATTCAACATGTTTTCTAATTAAATTAATTTAGGTTTTTTTGTACTGTTTAAAATTTACATTTGATTTTTAGTCTCTATTTTATTACTTATATAAACGCCTTTTATTCAAATACCAACCGTGTTAAGTTTGAATGATTTACATCCAAACCCTTGACAAAATCAATTAAATATTGAAAATTTCCTTTTGAATTTATTGATAAACAAAGAGCCAGCAACTAAACAATAAAGTCAACCAATTTAATTAAAATACAACACTATTTTTTCATATATATTTTATGCTATGTGTTTTGGCCATGGTACCAAACAAGTTGTAGGACCGTTTGAAAAAATACAACACTATTTTTTCATATATATTTTATGCTATGTATTTTGGTCATGTTATCAAACAAGTTGTAGGACCATTTGAAATTGTTGGAAATAAACACAAACAAATTAATTTATTGAATTTTGGATTAGTTAACATAGACGAGTGAGAAATTCGAAGTAGTATTTTGTTACACAATTTAACATCCTAAACAAATTTAAATTTAAAATAATGTACCATAGAGATACACATATATTAATGTATGGCAAAAAAACATTGATTTTTAAAGAGATTGTATGATATGTTGTGTAAATAAATCCACCTTATTACTATGTAAATAACCACTACACAGATCACAAGAATGAACATTACTTTTTAGTATCTTTCCCTTTACAGTATTTGCCCTAATTAATTAACGACTTTGAAAAGTATCTTTCTAACTATATTTACGTCGTGCTTTAATTGACTTAGTTGACTGAAACAACCCTAAGGTATAAGTGTGGCGGTAAACTTTTATTTTATTGTTGTTTTTTTTTTTTAAATATGAGTTAATACAACATTTTTGTTTTAGTACTTACTAGGTAATATAACTTTACAAAAGAGTGTCGCCTAAAAGTGTGGATATGTATGCATTAGAATAAGATTTGTTTAAATTTCATTTTATCCCTAAATTTAAAATTCATGGTCGTAGAAATCAAGTGTCTATTCTGATCCTAAAACTTTATAGTTTGTTCATTTTTGGACTAACAATTCCTCTGTATATGAAACTTAAGATAGTCAAGGTATCACATTTGTTAAGTAAGAAGAAGATCATAGTATACAATTAATTGTGTGACTTTATAACTACTTTGTTCATCCAAAAGACATGGTATAAAGAGAGATGTTGTCTCTCACGTATATACCTATTATCTTCTTATTTTCTAGCTAATGTAGGACTTTGTTTGCACTACATACAAATCCAACAATCATCCCCCTCAAACAAAATAACATAAAGCTTTCCTCCTCTCAAGTAGTCATTCATCCGTCCTCGCGGACTACAACGAGAGTTTGCTCCAAAACTCAAAAAACACTCGGATATAACACACTTACGGATTACATCATAACTACATATTCTGATGCTAACCACTTCTTTGTTTGGCACATGAAGATTTCACCGACACAACTAGCTCGATACTATGGTTTTGATACTGCTTATTAAGGACAACGGTGTTCCAAACACCCCAAGTATCTCCACAGTAGTATAATATTGTCGGAATCTGGCACAATTCTTTTGACTTTACTTTTGGTTTCACAAAAAATGTCTCATAACAATGGAGATATTACAAGATCTTCTTCTTATTTAACCGATGCAGGACTTTTGTTGCATTTCCATCAATCATTCCTTGTGAACAAAGTACCACCGAGTCATACCCCTGACTTAGCAGTAGTATCCTCATGAATCGTTGAGAATACTACTAAACAAAATTGTGATGGTTATGCTCGAACCAGATAATATCATTCCATTGTGAAGATATTCATTTGTACTCAGGGTACCATTGTCTTACATCACATATTTTCGATCAAAAAATTGTGAGTTCGAACCTCCACTCTTATATAATGCCATATTAAACAAATTTAAAATAATTATTTAATAAGTCCTACATAACATAAATGGATTAGTTTAATGGGAGACAATTAGTTAAATGATGATACTTAAGCAATCCCTATAATATGGCAAGCAAGAAGCATTCCTTTTTTTTGACAAACCAATGCCTAAGCCATTAAAAGATCATTGTCAATGCTAAAACCCAATGCATATTTGAACTACACTCCCTTTACCATGTGCTCCATGACAAAATTGCCCAACCCAACCAACAAAACCATTGGACGAGAACCAAACAGCATCCACAAGGATTCTCATCACGTATAATGAATGAGAAGTAAAGGAGTGGATGCCCTAGAATTTATAAAGGAAACAACATCATTTGTGACCCATATGTATGATTTTGAATCAATCAAATATGAGTGGAGATTTAAACCTCCTCCTATATTTTTTGATCGATGATATATAATTTAATCATATGAACTATACATGCTCAGATAAGTTTTAAATTTACCTATTATAAAAAGTTAGTAGAGTGATTTTACGAGTATTTGTACATAGATAAATTAAAAGTTTAATATATTAACTTTATTTTGTCTATTTTAGGTCCATGTATTTTCAGAATGTCAAAATTAGTCTATACAATTTTAGCGTTTGTCTATTTTAGTTTTCATACATTTAAAACATCTACTTTGGTTTATGTACTTTTTAAAAAGTGATTGCTCTGATCAATTTGTTCTTATATTAGCGTGACTTTCCACTTCAGAGGTTTCATATTTGCATTCAAAAGGGCTTTGGTGTGTGAATGATGACCAAAGTATTTACATATTAAATGCATCCATATCAAATTAAGATTTAGACCATTATTAAAAGTTGATATGTTTTAAAAATATCTAACGTTGGATACTTGTTTGAATTTCTAACGTAGCTAATTGTTCGCAATATGTGAGTAGGATGTCTTGTATGAGACCAAATATCTAATGTTGGATATTTGTTTGAATTTCTAATGTAGCTCATTGTTCGCAACACATGAGTAGGATGCCTTGTACGAGACCAAATCGAACCAAGGCAAAACTTGGTGCGTACGGGATATAATTTTTGAAAGTAACTTTTAGTATCAAATATAGATTACAAACAAATGATAAATTTCGACGACTTTATAAGTGAGGCGACACATGAATAATCGAACTACACATTAGAATGATATAAATCTCAAATTCGAAATGTTCAAGGTGGTTCACTTAAAGAAATAATACTTGATAGATACCCACACTAGCAACACACATCTAATTCATATATTCAAGAGCTTGCTTAATAAAAACTACACGTCTAAGCATATTTAGCGTGAAACAATGTAGATTGAGTGGAATCTTACGAACGTGTCACGACAAGCAAACAAATACGATACTTTAATTCATTCCTAAGGCAATTTTAAAAATTAAAACCAATACGTTATATTACATAGATATAAAGGAAAATGTTAGGGTTATTAAAGTGTCTAATATAAGCTACCAATATTGCTCAAATATTGAATCTCAATTATCGAAAAATTTAAATAATTCGCACTATATTATAAAAGTAGCTTATAATAAGATAGAATATACAATGTTTGTACATGTGTATATATTAAAAAAAAAAAAATTCCCTAAGCTCTGTTCTAAGTGGATTTCATATTTCAAACAAAAAATGCGCAACTCTGAACTCGGGTGCGGACCTAACCAGCCAAATACCCGTCCGTCGCCTTCCCTCCTCCTCCTATAGTCCCACACCTTCTCTGAGAACGAACCAGAAAGAGAGAGCGAGACATTTACAAGACTGAGTTCGATGTGCAGTTAGCAAACGCCAGCGTCTAAATTCTCTTCCGCCTCTCAATTTCTCTCTCTTTCGATTTAATTCATCTACGGAAGGGTTATGTCCCTCCATTTGTGCTTTCCCAGCGGTCCGATTCTTTAATTTCTGATTGAGCAACCCTAAATTCGTCGAACCATGGAAGAGGAAAAAATTAGCGGCGGCGGCGGCGGCAGTGGCGTTGGAGGCCGCACTGGGAATGGTGGTTCCGGTGATTCGTCGAGAGCTTCTTCTTCGTTTGTGAAATCGGGGGACCGGCAAATGTTCACAGTGGAGCTACGACCTGGAGAGACTACCATAGTTTCATGGAAGAAGCTTGTCAAAGACGCCAACAAGGTTAATGGACTCAACACTGTGCCCGAACCTCCAGCCAACCCCAACCCCGTTGTTGAGTGTCGCATTGATCCGGTGAGAACTTTATTTTCCAACTGAATGTAATAGGTGTATAATGCGTCTTATTTATCGCTCAAGTGTAATTGGAATATACCAGAGCCCGTTTTAGCTATGGCATTGGAATCATTTATCACTTCAGCTCGAGAGTTCACTTCTTGCAATTTTGTTAGGGGAAAGGGCAAAGGGTCGAGTTTAAGTAACTAAATAACCTGGGGTACGATCCTTCAAGCAAGGTTCTTGAAGTGGTCGACAGTACTTCTTTAATACTTTGGATGGGCGGTGCCTTAGAATTGTAGCGAGTCTATTTTTTTGTATGAAAATTGAAAAAACGTAGAACTTCAATTTTGGTCTATGTACATCAAGCCTTTTGATGCAGTCACCAGAACGTGTTAACGATCTAAGCCTGATGCAAAGAGCCTTGAACAATTCTAAAAGAAGAGATGCTCATTTGCTAGCTAGTATTTTTCAGTTGGCTTCATGGTTACCCTACTGATAATTGGCATGACAATGTCTATGGACATTTTAAGAATTTGTGTATATTTCTGAACATTTTTAAGTTTTGCGTATATTTATTAATATCTCTTCTCATGTAATTCCATTATATTTTTCAAGTTATGTTTCTTATGTTGTGTCTCTGTCCATATTCGTTCTTTTTAGATGTTCAACCATATATTTAGGATTTAGGGTTTGGTCTTTAAAATAACTGAGGAGACAATGATCTTAAATCACAAAGCACTTGCCTTGTTCTTTGCCTCCAGGGACAACCGATTGAAGATGAAGTGAAAGATGCAACAGCACCAAATCGTTTTAATGCAGTTATTGAGAAGATTGAACGATTATACATGGTATTGTTGTTTCCTTCTTAAGGTTATCAGCGTTAGTTTTTCAATTAGTAGTTTTCTTTGAACAAGAAACCAAATTTTCATTTTCAATTAGTATTTTTTATATACACCTTTTGCATTTCAGTAATCAAAGAAACACTGGATAGTTCAAATTCATGGTTACTAATACTAACTTGACAATTAATCTCCCGTAGGGTAAGGATAGTAGCGACGATGAAGATATAATTCCGGATGATGATCGGTATGATACAGAAGACTCATTCATTGATGATACCGAGTTGGTTGGTTTCTTTCTGTTGCTCGTGTGGTCTTGTTTGTCATTTCTGCAATGTAAATTACAATTTCATTTTTTTCCTGAGAATGTGACAATAATATTTTTATGTGTGATGATTATTGTTGATGACTTGTTCTGCAGGATGAATATTTTGAAGTTGATGATTTGGCAATAAAACATGATGGATTTTTTGTTAATAGGGGGAAGTTGGAGCGCATGTAAGTTTCTGACCTTGTTGACCTTTTTCCTTATTAGCAGTTTTATCATTTGTCAGAAATCATGTTAGTTAACTTTAATTTTTTGAATTATTTATTGATTTAGTGGTCGATAATGCATTCCACCATTGTTTTCTGCTGTTGGTGAAATTGAATTTTATAGCTGCCCAAAATTATGAGTCCTGTCATGCTTTTATTTTGGAATAATGTTATTTGTGGACTTTGTATGTGTTGGTTTTGTCAATCTTATGTTTGGAACTTCTTATTTTTGGTATGCTATAGGTGGCTAATATCGTGTGATAGTGGAGGAAAGCATAATGATAGTATGTTTAAGTTTGATAGGTTATTTTCCTTGCAAGTTGCCTAATTTCAAGCTTAACTATAGGGGTACCACTCTCTTTTCCTTGCAGCAAAGCTCATTTTGGGGTCAGTGCCTTGAAAAGTAAAGGTCCATATTTGGTTTACTCAAAATAAAGTGCGAAGAATAAATCCCTTCCTTTACATTTCTTGTCAATCTACCATAACTGTAAAAAATTTTCTGGCCTTTGAAAGCTACCTGGGAGAAGTACGAATAGATTATAGTGTTCTCAGGTTTTCACCTTGAGGAAAATTAACTTGATGGACAGATGTAACAACTCGAAGGGTGCCAGATGGATCACCTATTACGTTTACTTTTTTTTTTGAATAAGATACGAACTTTTCATTGAATATTAAAAGGAACAAAAATTGTTCAAAGATACAAACTTCCAAATGAGTGAGTAAGTTCGCTGAGTCCAGGTGTGGAAGCCTGGTTAGTCAGTCAAGCCCAATTGATCAACTGGAGTAGATGATGTGGTTGACATGGCGTTAGATACTAAACCTACCTATATGTTGATAATCCTATAGTTAGTTAGGAGGAATTTGTGTATGTGGGAACCAGGGGCTCAGGACTTTTGGAGGATAGGTGGCCGCTGACTGTTGTGCAGTAGTTTGTTAGGAGAGGCATTGAGAATTTTAGTCAGGAATGAGCTAAGCTTAGAGAGGGCCCCTTTTAACAAATATATGTGCCTCATTGTTTTGTTATTTTCACCATTTCTAACGAGTAACATTTTAAAAATTTTCAATCTTTTAATTCTCTATTTTCACTTTGTGGGTGTGTGTGGTTTCAGTGTTCTGCTTACAAGAAGAATTTGATTTTATGCTTGGAACATAGGATGTTAGAATTTCTGTTTTTAGTGTTTTTTTTTGGAATTTTATATTCTCATTTTTTACTTATTCTAGTTTCCATGCTCATTTTTACTTCTTGTATCCATGGAAAGAAGTGAACCGTCTGGACAGCCTAATCAACAGTTGAAGAAAAGACGCAGAAAAGATTTAGAGAAAGGTCATTCTGAAAATCATGATGGTCGCTCATCAAATAAGCACACAAAAGTAGGAAAGATAGCTACGGGAAAGACAGCACTCATGGTTGCAAAGAGTTTTTCTAATCTGTCACAAAACATGGCTATCACACATGAACATCGTGAAGATGAAAAATTGCAGAATCAATTGAACATGCCTGGACATGGTTCCAAAAAAAAAATTGGTGACACGAAAATGACATTGGACCCTTCTACATCAATTAAAGTTTATAATGGCGATACCTCTACTTCTGTAGCAGAAGCGAAGGACCTTGATCCATCAAAGCCTGGTATTGTCCCATCCAAGAACCTTGCCAGCAAATCAAAAGAGTCATGTGGACCATCTGATTCCTTACAACAGAACCTACTTGAGAAAAGTGCCCATGCACCCTTCAAACCCCAACCTGGGAGGCCATTGAATAGCGTGGAAGAGGTAGATTCCTCAACTCAGTTGAAAGAGAAACACGGCATTCGTGAATTGCCAGACATTAATTTGCCAGAGGGCAAGTATTCCATGCAAACAGCAGTAAGTTTTCTTAAGCAATTTAAATGACGAACAAGTACTGATTCATCATTGTTTATGAAAATGAATCAACTTTCTTTACTAGTCTATGGCAAACTTTATTTTTGAATTGTTCATCAGTTGAACCTCTAAAGTTGAGATGGGTGTTTGTGATTTGTGCCACCCAAACTTGTTAGTTAAATGTATAAGTTTTATTGAGAAGGTTCATGTTTTTCCTTCTTTTAATAGAAATGGAATTTGTTTCCCTCCCTTTATTAATAGGAATAAGATTTGTGGTTGAATGGATGAAAATTTTCTTCAGCTTTTACTCAATTAAGGGTTGGTTTGTTATATAATCATTTCTACACAAATATAAGCAAGACATGTTTATTTACTGAAGAGAAAAGGAAAAGGCTATGGGGTGCTTTTGGAAGCTGGTTAGTATTGAATGGGTTGGTTACCTGTGATTTGATCAATTGATGATTCTCGAGATATATGTTAATTCTCTGTTTTATTAGTTGAAAATGAGCTTGCTAGCACGTACCTTTTAGTATGGGTTTTGTTTCTTTTTTTAGTACAACAAATGTGGGGTGGGAAATTGAACCTTTGACCTCAAGGAAGGTAATTAGTGTCTTATCCATTAAACTATGCTCGGTCGGTGGATTTTGCATAATTTATTAATTGTTATTGGTACATTTTAAAATAAAATAAAATTCTAATTTCCTAACTCTCATTAAATTTTCTTTAGATCTTGAACTCAATTATTTTGATATTGCCTATATTTTTTATTAAATATCTAAATTATTTCTTATTGTTAACTTGTATAATATAATTTTGATGTTTCATTGTATCTTTGGAATTTTTGTATTTCTTATAAAATATACTGGACATGAGAATTTGATTTTGAACTATTACTTTGCAGACATATTTTAGTATGGTTTTTATTATTTTTTAATTTATTGATCTATTATTTTTATTATTTACTTTTTCTAATGTCTACCTTTTTTAGAATTATGTTGATCTTTGCTACATTAATCATTATTACCAAATTTATGCTCCAACTTGGTAGCTAAGAACTAGTTTTTACGTTTAATCAAAATGAAACTGAATTGGAACAACTAAAAGTTTTACTAAATAAAAATTGAAAATTCAATAATGAAAGAAAATTTTTGACCAGGCTTAGTAATTGTTGGCTCTGTAAGATAAAAAGTAATTAATATTTTTTTTAGTATAGCAAGAAGTGTTAGATTTTAATAACATTGTTTAATGAATAATTTCATAAATCCAACTACTTAATCCAGTTTTATTTGATCATGACATTTAGCTATCGATTCAAACTTCAATGCTAATTTTCTTTTTGCTATAATACTTGGATATAACTTTGTTTGCTTCTTAGTTTAGGTGAAAGGAATGATAAAAGGAGAATAGAGTGTGCTGCATATGTGAATCAAATGGCGTTTATTGGTGGTAGATGTTGCAAATGAGGTAGTCAATGGGAGGAGAAGAATAACGAGAAGATGTTGGACTTTCATTAGACTGGAACATGCCTTGATTAATTGATTGAGATTTTATTTTATCAGTTTTGAAAATAGAAGGATTTGGCTTCAAATTGTACTTGAAGGAAATGTGCTAAGTGGTATGCCATGGGGAAAGGTTAGCTTATTATAAGGCTTCAGAGTGGGGAAGACAACATGCATTGAACCCACTTATAGTTCGTGGATACATACTTTTTTGTGCTGATGGTCCCACTAAGATTAAGAACTCTTTTCAGTCTTGGAGACATTCTAGATAGTGTGAGTTGGGATTCAATTGTGACGAGTCAATCTTCTGCGGTTCAACTTGAATTCTGAGGCAATGAAAAATTTGGTAGGAAAACTGTAGTGTTATATTGGAAGTTGTCTGTCAACTATTTAGGTAGTGGTAATACTCCAAATATTGATTTTTGGAAGGAATGAATCTTTAATGGAGGATTTGGTATCCTCTACTTTTCACTCTTATGTGGTTACAAAATGAATCTACTGCCATTTGTCTCCCTCTTTGTCTGTGTACCTGTTAGGGCTGAGGGGTTCAATGCATAAACTTCTGAATTTTTTCAAATTTTATCAATGGCCTTTTCTTTTGTAATTTTATTTTTCTTTATTGCAGGATATTTTCATCCTTGTCTTGTTATGTCTCTTATTTATATCATTCGGTTTTCTATTAAAAAACTTTTATTTATTTTTATCATGTCTTGGTATTTCTATTTTGGAAATTTTGTTTATTTATCATCTCTATCATAGATTCAACTTTTGGTGTAACCATGCAGAAAACACCATATGTGCACAAAAAGGATGGTTCTAGTGTTAGGCCAAAGAGTTCCCTGCTGGAAAAAGCTATAAGAGAGTTAGAAAAGATGGTTGCGGAATGTAAGCTTCCTTTTCTTTTTCAATACCTAGTTTTTACTTCACCGGTGGTGCCTTCTTTGCAACCTATCTAATTATTCTCTTAATATAAAAATATTGCAGCTAGGCCACCCCTTACGGAAAATCCAGAGGCTGACAATTCATCTCAGGCTGTCAAAAGGAGATTGCCAAGAGAAATCAAACTCAAGCTTGCTAAAGTTGCCAGATTAGCGGTATGATGCTGTTATTGTTGGTTAATGTACATGTTATTCTGACTTATGGCGTGGAATTGAATAGGACTGCTGCCAGGGATGTAAAAGAATTTTATTTTTCAGCTTGACTTTGGTCTCCCTTTAAGAACAAAGTGAAAACTATTGTGATAATGAGGAAACAGAGAAACGTGAGAATTTGTTTTTATCAATAGGAGAAGTGCGTTGGGAAACGTGGAATTTAGTTTTTGTTCAAGGTTTATAGTTTGTTAGCATCTTCCAAGTTCCAACAATCTTTGTAGCTATCTTCTTTGTTTTCAACTTGTGGCCTTTTGTTCCTGACTTACATTGTACTTCTTCTTAGCAAAAATCATGAACAAATGTGTTGAATGAAGTGCTTATGATCAACCATATGAAATTTCTTTCTTCTATATTTAGAAAACTGAAAGGGTTCTAACTTTTTTGTATTTATCAGGCGAGCCATGGAAAATTATCAAAAGGGTTGATTAACCGACTTATGAGCATTCTTGGTCACTTGATACAACTGCGAACTCTAAAGGTATTGCTTTCTATTATATAATATAAGAATATAGCGCTTGGAATCTCTTTTCCTCTTGTAATTCTACAATTTTAGTTTTACATTTACGTCAAAGCCATGCACATGGAGGAGTTTAGTAGTATAAACTCGGACATTTTGTTATCCCGTTACTCTTTCTTTCGAGAGTTTATTGTTGGGTTTAGAGAATTGGGTTCTGAACTTTTTATGTAATCACAAAGGTACCAGGATAATAGTCAATTTCACTTCAAAACCTTTGCTTTGCCAGATAACAATTTGTAAGATTAATTTTTATATTATTTAACATAAATGAATGGGATGAGTTGCATCTGTAAGTTTTGACTCCCTGAATAGGATGAGTTGCTTGTATTTTGTTATATGAAGAGTTTATGGAATTTGCGTTGTGCAACAGCTTTGTAGTTTAACCTCTGATATTTATAAACTTGGTTTAAAAGAAATATGTTTTATCCATTTTTCTTTTTCTTATTCCGTGGAAACTATCCTATCATATTGTTCACCTTGATTCTATATAATTTTCCTGCTTATTGATATGTTTCATATTTGTACATGCAATGTCCTACTATAGAGAAATTTAAAAGTCATGATCAACATGGGTATCTCAGTGAAGCAGGAGAAGGATGATAGGTTTCAACAGATAAAGAAAGAAGTCGTCGAGATGATTAAAATCCGGCCTTTATCCATGGAGTCTAAGGTATTATATTTTGAATCCTTCTTTACTACTCTTTCCTATGTCTACCACACCCAACACATTGCTTTACTACAAAGATGCTCCTTTGGCAGGCTGAATGCTCAAGTTTAAGCGGTTTACCATACATTCTCTCTCTCTCTTTTAACCGCATGTATTTTACTTCTACACGTAAATCTTTTTGATAAGAAACAAGCTTTTCACCAAAGGAATAAGAAAAGTACAAAAGGGTGATGCCATTCACCCCAACAACCAAGGAGATTGTAGAAAGGCTGTTCAATTGGTCACAATATAGACATGACTAATCTATTTTTTTTTTTTAAATAACTTCATCTTTGAACTTGGTGTTATTTTAGTTGAAGTGTATATTGATTTAAGGGAAGAAAATAATTACGAATTTAAGGCTCTAACTAGACATATGAAAGAAAATAAAATCCCAAGGGGACTCAAAATTCCTTTTTCTCATCATGGAAAATTCTTCCTTTTCTTTCCATCCAAATATCCTACTCGTAGAAAGTTTCAAAATGAAGTTAGTCCAAGATCACTTCAAGATTACTTTTACAAAATGAAGTTGCTCGTTTAAGGATTGGAATGTTAGCCAGCATTTTTTTAGACCAAACAGCATCACCATTTATTCATAGTGTCCATCATGCATTCAAAAAGTAGCCTAATGGGTGTTCTCTGATTTTATATATATTTGATGAAAACTTGATTTTAAATCAATGTTGGAAAAGTTTGTTTCTGGTTAAAAAAAAAAGAAAAAAAGAAAAAATCAATGTTGGAAAATACGTTGGTACCATTTAACTCATCAAATAGTTCCGTCACCGTTAAATTGGAAAATTATATGGGGTAGTTTTGAGGTTTAGAGAATGATAATTGGCATAAAACCTTTGGTTGCTGTTATTTTTCTTGACCAATAATACAGGACTGGAGTAAGGGCAGGTCTTGGTCTGATCCCTCTTGTTGCCAATATATCCCTGACCAAGCATTTGATCCCCCTATTTTTGATTTGTGAGCAATCATGAGATCGAATATGTACAGCCGTTGTACTTGAGTTTAAAGTTATAGCATGATCCTGATCTGATTATGGTTGGAGGAATGCTTGCAAGGGTTAGGAACGCATGGGTGAATTGTTGTAAAACCTGTTGATAATCTCCTCCGTTCTTAACTTAAATTTTTCCTACCATTGCAACTTACTTTAGCTCAGATCACATTGATTTCTGTCTAGATTCCATGGCCCTCCTTCCATAAATTGTTCGTCTTGGATGTCAAGGAAACTAAACCTGAGATTTGGATTACCTTGGGGGTCCCTTTTTTTTAATGACCCTGAATCAATAGCTCTTTACCTTTTTACCCCTATAATTGTGGACAGTTATGCCCGCCGAAGGCGTGGTCCAGGAAACATGAAAGATTTTGGTATTAAGCACACCCAAAAATTTCAACACAAGATGTCTATTGTGGTAGGCCCATGGCCTCCTCTCCAATTTTAAACATTATTTTCAGCTTGCCTTGGTTGACTCTCTTTGAGAATATATTGACACTTCATAGTGGCAGTGATAAGAATTCTTCCATGATTGATTGTTCTTGTAGGGTCAGGACCACTGTTTGACACATCTCCCACCCCTTTCACTAACATCCCATTTCCTATTATCACCTCGTACTATGAGGTCTTGGTGGTTGACAATTTTCAATTCTTGCACGATCTCTTCTCTACAGAGGTGATGTTATGCAATCATCTTGATCTTGCCATTATTACGAATCATATCCAGAAGCCACTACGAATGCCTCAAGAATCTATATGCCCTCTACAAAGCCGTTTGACTGCTTGAGCACCATCAATTACCACCTTAGCAATAATTTGTAAAGAGAAGTCACAAGGCCAATAGGCCTAAACTCATTCACCTTGTTGCTTTTCAGCTTCTTAGGAATACTGCAAATGTAAGTCTCATTTGTGTGTTTGTTAATAATCCATTTTTTCGTAAAAATCTTAGAACACCTCTACTAAATCACCTCTCAAGATGTTCCATGATCTTTTAAAAAATTCGTTTGTCATACCATCCGGACCCAACGACGTCATATTTCCAAGGCTACTTGCTGCCTCTAAACCGGCTTTACACTGGTAATTCAAAGGTTTCCAATCAATAACATCTAAAGTATACCTCTTACCTTCTGGTTCAGCATATAAGTATTTTTCATCACATGAAAAACATAAACCTTTATCTTGCTGAGCTTGTAGTTTGCTTTTCATTAAACTTCCATATACTTGATCTTGTTGACTAATTGCAATTTTCTCTGTTGCTCTGGATACCTGCTATAAGTTCCACATATGGATTATATATAATATTTTGGACATAGATTGCCCTCACACCTAGGGTTGTGGAATGAAGGTAGACTTGTTGGACCTTTAAGGCTAACTTATTATCCTCGATTTGGCTTGAATTCTCCTAGAGCCGTTTTGACATTCCTTCTAACTTCTTATCCTTGATTTGGTTTAAAATTCTCCTACAACCGTTCTGAAATTCCTTCTAATGGTGCTGCTAATAATTCAAATTGGTTCTGATATCCTTCACTGTTATACCTGGACGCTTAGCTTAAAACCTCTCACACTCTTTCATCCTACGAAGGTCTAAATCTATCCAACAAGTGTCATTGCAACACGATCAACTCCTCAAGGGCCTTCTCCCTCTCTCACTATGAAACCATGAATAAGCTTCCCACTTCCAAATGTACTGCTACCAGTTCAATCATCTCTTCCTCCAACAGTTTATTCACTTCAAAATACCACTCTGCTTCAAACAATCAGGTCATCAGGCTCCTTCCCATTGAAGATTGGTATTTCTAGACTCCTCACTGACTATTCTTTTCTTCGTCCCCACTGCCTCTGGGTTCCCATTTAAGTTGCTCTCACTGAGGATTGCACCTCGTACTCCTGCCTTGGAGCAGTGTTTCCCACTAACTCTGCTGCCACATTTCTTTCATCCTTTTGTTATGTTTTCCATATTCTTTTCTTGCTCTTGCATCTCCCCTTTCATCTGCCTCAACCCTACATCCATGGCACTACGAACACCTGAACAATCTCTCCTGTGCTTTAGACATATTTTCCTCCATAGTGTTAATTTGCTCCATTTTCCTACTATCTGGCATTTTCTGAAGTTCTCGCCACTCTCTGGGCTATAGCTGCTTAAGATTCAAAGTATTATTTTATCAAGCAGTAGGATAACAATACAAAGGAGGATTCGAGAGCTTCTCTCTCTCAAACCTGAACCAAAAACTTCTTATATATCACTTAAGTTCCTTCCTAAGCTTAAACCCTTGCTCCTCTTGGTAGTGCTATATGGCTCCACACTTCCCCTTCCCTCATTTATTGCTTCCACATTCCTGTTTGTAGTCCCCATACCATCCTTCTAGTGCAGATAGGTAAGGAGAGGCCTATCAAATTTCTTAGTTGGTTTCATTCTTCAAGTTTAAGGGCCGTTGGGGAATTAAGTTTAAAATCTGTCGTTTTAGAAGTTTAGTGAGAACATGTTTGATTTGCCTTTTTGGAAGCTCTTTTCACCTGTTTTCTTTAATTTATTATTATTATTATTTTTTTTTTTGCAGAAATTTATTTTCTAATAATAAGTAAAGCTTTCCATTGAAAATCAGTCCGTGAATAGTAATTTCAAGTCTAACCTTAACAAACTTCAACTAAATACGTTTTCAAAATTTTTTTTGTGGAATAAGCCATTGCTCATAATCATATTAAACTAATTTATATAGGTTAGGGGTTTCTTCCGTACAATCTAAATATTTAATTTTTATTTTTAGTTGGTTTCTTTGGGGCTTGAAGAGGTTTTCAAGAGCATTGTTGATAAGAGTATCAAATATCTTTCAGGCATTCGAACAACAAGCTGGAGCACCTCAAAATCTCCGTGAACTTGTTTCTGAAGAAAAAGGAGTCCCTAAAAAAAAGTTTGTTATGGATCCTTCATTGGAGGACAAGATTTGTGATCTCTACGATCTGTTTGTTGATGTACTGCTTCATGTTCTCAGTGAACCTTCATTTTTTTTTTCTTTTGATTATCTTTAAACTTTCTCATCTCTGTTTCTTAACGATTCTAGGGACTGGATGAGGATGCTGGTCCACAAATTAGAAAGCTGTACGCAGAGGTAGTTGTTCTCTCATTTATTTTTTGATTTCTCAATCGGCTATTAGTTGTATCTGGTTGCTGCCACCTCCATTATAGGGAGAGAGTATGATGATGTTAGCAAGTGGTCTCATAACATATCATAAAAGCAGTCAGTTTTTGTTTTTTCATGGATACCTAGTAGTCTGTTTGTTTGTTTTTCATGGATACCTAGTAGTCTGTAATTTAAGTTCAATGGGATGGTTTCTTATCTGGAAAAAGATTTTTTCAATTAAATATGGTTTCTTTATTACAGTTCACGTGCACTTTGTGTATTAGTTGCCAGTCTTTGTTATCAGTCGTGTAGTTTCTCTCTGGTTTTTTCTGAAGTCTCTTTCTCCCAATTTAAACTAGGTGAAAATCTTGTCATGTTAGTTCTACCTCCTCTTATCAATATCTTAGTTTCTAAACTTGTGCAATCTTTAATTTGTGTCATGGGCTATCGTCCCATCTTTCCAGCTTGCAGAATTGTGGCCAAATGGGTTCATGGATAATCATGGAATCAAACGTGCAATATGTAGGGCAAAAGAGAGACGTAGAGCGTTGCACGGTAGACATAAGGTATGTTACTCTCCCTCTCTCTTTCATTCCCTAATTAAGCTATCATCAGCCTATCAGGAATTTCCGCTGAGGTTCTACTCTGATATAGAACTGAGACCCTTGCCTCTTGTTAGGAATGTAAACTTCAGCAACCAAACTCTTCTATTTCGTTGACAGAATTAAATGTATACTCATCCCCCTGAGTCGATTTTTTATTTATTAGATTAAGTTCATCGTGTTACATTCTGGATTTATATTGGCTGTTCCTTATACTGTTGTCTTTTCGCATTCCCATTCTTTGGTAGGATCAAGAGAAAGTCAAGAGGAAAAAGATGTTACCACCAAGAGTAGATGATACAGTTAGAACTGAGATTGGTTCAGTAGCTCAGCCACAGTACGCCAGGGAGCGATTAGCCTCTGAATCAGGTGTACAACCAGTCCCAGCAGCCAAGCCAGTGTCTATTTCGGCAGCTAACATGGCCCAGCTACCATGTCCTTCCACGAGTATTGGAAACGTAGACAGGCTAAAATCCGAGAAGTTGAAGGGAAGCTCAAGCGGTTCCCTCGAAGACATGAGAATGGTGGACGGTGCATTAACGAAGAAAAAGACGAAGAGGAAGGCAGAGCTGGAGTTGGACGAAACTCATAATCGTCCCGAGAAGGCGCCCATCCAACATGGAGATGAAAAACACAAGCCCATCAACAAGCCAACTGCCAGTCTTCCTCCAAAGGCAAACATTCAATCAGCTGCTCCTCCAAGTCTGGAACAGTCAAGCTAACATGATATTACTTCCCATGCGTCTAATCTACACCATAATAATGTTCTGTCACACATCACCACCCTCACTGCATCCCACAAAATTTTCTCCCCCTCTCCTCCCTCATTTCTCTCATTCTCGGGTTTCATTTATCGACCCGAAAAAGCCAGGAAAAAAGAAGCCATTTTTGTAATTACATGTTCGTGCATGGGGCTTTCTGGATTAGAAATGTATCTTAAAGTAGGGAGAGCTCAAGTAGCAATTTTATTTGGAAAGTAGTCAATTTGAAGGCCTCTTTCTTTTTTTTTTTCCAACTCTTATGGTTCTAATTATTTGTTTTTCCTCTATGCTAATTTTCTGTTAGTTTTATGAGAGAATTTGAGCTCTTCAGATTTAGAGCTTGAAACTCACACTTCGATGATTGCAGGACGATCATCGATAAAAGTTTTCGACATTGGTAATTTTAAGGTTTGATCAATTAATCTACATCAATAAAATTTCGTGACTTTTTCTGCTGAAGGTGAATAATTTGATCGTTGAACTTAAATTGTCTGACCAAAATGCATGATTTAGATTGTTAAAGCCAATCCTTTTACAATTATGCAAAAAGAATAATGAAAATTATAATACTTTTAGCAATAATGTATTATCAATGTTTTATACTACAAAAAAGAAAAAAAACCATGTCCCATAAGCTTTGAACTATTAAGCTAACTCAACGTAGCGAAATTAGTTAAAGAATATAAAATGACTTTTTGCAAGGTCAGAATTTAAAATCTCTACCTCTACATTATAGATTAACTAAAAAATTAGATTAAAATATTATTTTTGTTCTTCTCTAATATTGTTTTAAAGTTTTATCTATCAACTCTACGACTTTTGTTAAGTTCTTGAGTTGACCTCTACTTTCTCAGGAAAAAAAAAAGAATCGACCTCTGTTTGTAGGATGTTTCTTTTTTAATATAAAAAGGGGTGATATTTATTGTTCTGCCACTATAGTAAAAAATGTTAGGAAATTTCAAATAAATTTTTTTTCAAACTTAAAAAAAAACTATTTCACATAGATTTTTGTAATACATTAGCCTATGAGAGTAGAGATTCAAACTTACGACTTTTTTATCGGGAATAGAAATTCAAATTGGCAACTATTTCAGACCTTATCTTTTCTCAATTGCTCAATTGCATATTAGTGAGGTATGATATGTCTCTATTATCATCTCTATCTTATAAACAATAACTAAGGTAGGCAGTTGTCGATAATAAAATAAATAATGCTATTATTAGTTAAGTTTTAGATTTAAATATTATTTTTGTCCAATACTTTTAAAAGTTACATTTTGGTCCCTCTACTTTTGAACCGACTATTTTAGTTCCTTTATTTTTTTATGTCATTTTATTTATTATAATTATAGCATGACAATATAATCTCTAAATTTATTAAAATATGACCATAACTTTTTACAAAAGAGTTTTTGTTGTCTATCAAATTTGGGTTATTTTACCAACAATGACCAAAATGGTCACATTTTAAAAGTTAGTGAAAAAAAATCAACAATTTGAAAGTATAAATATTAAAATAGACCATTGAAACTTTATGTTCCAAAATTTGAGAGCTCAAAAATAATATTTTAACATTTTTCTAAAATGAGTATAAGAATATAGATCCGAGTGAAATTGTGGGTAAATGTTACTTCATAAGTAAAATATATATTTTGCCATCAATAAATTTAAGTTCAATTTTATTTTTGAGTTCAAAGATCACTTTAATTTTTATCGAGAATATATGTCTAAATTATAGATTAAGTTATGTTTAGCTTTATTAATTTCACAGGGACTGCCAACAAAACTCCTAATTTGCATGAGTAGAATTTATTTAAAATCAAACCATCTCAAATGAGCTCCTTACCTAACTTAAACCAAATTGAACACCCCTAATTTTGCTTAAAAAGAAAAAACCCCTTAAATTGTTTTATTTCATTAAGTAATTCTTACAAATATATGGTTTTTAAAATTTAAATCCACAGTTTTTTTTATTATTATTTGTGAGTGTATGCGACAAATAATTCATAACGAAAAAAAATCAGGAAATAAAAAAAAGAATATATTCTCCAATGAAAAAAGGGGCTGGATATTGCCATAGGCGTCAAATCCACTTATCAAAAATCAAAGTTATTGGAAGAAAATCCCTAAAAATGGCATCCACAAATAATGCTGAAATAATCTGAAACCCGACACCACCCGCCATTTTTCTCTGCGAGTTCATCTTTGTCGTTTTTTCTTCATCCCCATATCATTATTCTTCACTGTAGAGAGAGAGAGAGAAGAGAGAGAGAGCTCAGCAAACTCTACATGGTGGTATGTTGCTTCGAGTGGCAGTTGGACGCCATCGCCGTCGGCATGAATCGCTCTCTTCCGGCCACCGTGATCCATTCGTATCTCTCCCCTTTTAGGCCTCTTCTTCCTTCATGTAATGCCAGATTTCTCGGATTCCAATTGCAGACGTGGAAGCGACTCAGGAGGCGGCTAAAGTTCGCTGTCACTGCGGAGCTCTCCAAGTCTGTATCTCTGAATTCCGGGTCCGAATTTCAGGTCTCTGACTTTTAATTGCCATTTGTTTTCCCTTCATTGATCTTTCAGTTTCGTGGTGTTTTCGGTTAACTGGCTGAGAGAGTAAATCTCGTTTTCCTTCCCCTAGTTGAAGATGGGATAGCTTTTTGTAGTTTGTACCTGGGGCTAACTCTGAGCTAACGATAAGGTTTGTTGATGGCGAAATCAAGTTCGGTAAGGTCCGGGCTAATTAATTGCTCCTGGATAATAGTAAGCATGATGCTGTGGCAATGAGGATGGTCTACCCATTGTTTTTAGTTTAATGATATAATCTTTGGTCTTCTCAGTTCTTTAGCATTTGAAGGCTCTCTGCTAATCATTATTATGTAGTTACAAGTTGCTTGAAATCGCGGGGTTTCAGAAAATGGAGTATTTATCCAATATTTTTAAAATGGACTTGGGAATATGTTGCCGTGGTATATATACTTGCTGTTTCATAAACCAGCGACAACCATCTACTTCCTGCTTCTGGCCCCTTGCCGCCCCCACCCACTGTCAACCTTATCTACATCGTCTTTGCAGATAGGATTTTGCTGCATAATTAAGCCAATGAATTCCCTCTTGAGATCTCCCTTAAATAGCAGTTTATATTGAGTTCTGGCCTTCTTGGGTACTTGAGCCATTCATGTGCACCTTATTATTGCACTTGCTTTTTGTTATGGCATGATTTAACTGTACTCCACGTTGGATGCTCTTTTTCTATTTTATGTATGAACTTTCTTGGTGCTGTATGCGAGCGTGTCAGTGAGATAGATGTCTGTAGGATGGTTTCAAGTGTTTTACTTTGCCCCTTTGATTTTCGATTGTAAGTCATTCCCATTTTTGATCTATTACAGTTGCCATGGATTGGTCCGGTTCCTGGTGATATTGCAGAAGTTGAGGCATATTGTAGAATCTTCAGAACTGCTGAACGACTCCACTCTGTGCTGATGGATACACTTTGCAATCCCTTGACTGGAGAATGTAGCGTTTCATATGATCTCACACCTGGGGAAAATCCTGTAATTGAGGATAAAATAGTATCTGTTCTCGGATGCTTAGTATCACTTCTAAACAAAGGAAGGGAGGATGTACTTTCTGGAAGATCAGCTGCCATGAATTGTTTTCAGGCTGCAAATTTAGATGTAACGGAGGATAGTCTACCTCCATTGGCTGCCTTTAGGAGTGAGATGAAGAGGTGTTGTGAAAGCTTGCATGTTGCTCTTGAAAACTTTTTGACTCCTGGTGATGACCGGAGCTTGGATGTATGGGGGAAACTTCAGAGGCTGAAGAACGTCTGTTATGATTCTGGTTTTACTAGAGGGGAGGATTATCCCTGCCATACATTGTTTGCTAATTGGAATCCCGTTTATCTACATAATTTCAAGGAAGAAACTTTGGAAAAAAATTCTGATGTAGCCTTTTGGAGTGGTGGTCAGGTAACAGAAGAAGGTCTGAAGTGGTTAATAGAGAGAGGGTTTAAAACGATTGTTGATCTTCGGGCAGAGACAGTGAAGGATGACTTTTATAATGCATTCTTACATGATGCTATTTGTTCTGCGAAAGTTAAAGTGATCAAGATTCCTGTTGAAGTTAGGACTGCACCAACAGTGGATCAGGTTGAGAAGTTTTCATCATTAGTTTCAGATGGCAGCAATAGGCCAATCTATCTTCACAGTAAGGAAGGTGTGTGGCGAACATCAGCCATGATATCCAGATGGAGGCAATATGTGACTCGTAGTGAATCACAGCTTGTATCCAATCAGACGATTGCAGGTGACATTCCACTTAGAGACACCTCTTCCAAATTGGAACATAATCAAAATGGAGCAAAAGAATCACTGGAAATTTCTAAAATTGAAGAAACATTTACCTGTGAAAAAGACAACCAATCTTTGCTGGTAGAAAGTGCTCGTCATGGTTCAATTGATTTGATTAGTAAAAAAAATTGTGCACAAACTGAGACAGAAAGTCAGACTGTAAATGGAGCTTTCCACGGGCCTATTCCGACACAAGATCTGACATCTCCAAGAGCAGTTGATAGCGGGGAAGAGTATCCGTCCCAATCTGGCATTGAAACTGACCCCCTGAAAGCTCAGATTCCTCCATGCAATGTTTTTTCAAAAAAAGAAATGTCCAATTTTTTTAGGACGAAAAAGATTTCTCCTCAAAATTACTTCAACCATCATTTAAAAAAGAGAGAAAAATGGCTACTTTCTACAGAGTTACCTGCAAGAAGAATTCAAAGATTTAGTGTTGACGATAGTAATCTTAAATCTGGGTTTGTGGAGGCGGGAAATTTTAACGGCAGCCCAAGTGTAAAAGATACATCCTCAAACACCCATTATTTATCTACTACGAAGATGAAGTATGTCAATGGTGATAGTCATGTATCTGCCAATCCTGTTCTTAATGGACTTGAAGTGGATGGAAGAAATTCTGTGACGATTGAAGCCTCTACTGCCGTTGGAAGTAAGTTTCAGTCTGAATCAGAAAAAAAAGAGTTAAAGAGCAATGGTCAAGCAATTTCAGTTTCTGGAAATGTTGACATGGAATCTGTTGAAGGAAATATGTGCGCTTCTGCCACTGGTGTTGTAAGGGTGCAATCAAGAAGGAAAGCGGAGATGTTTTTAGTTCGAACAGACGGGTTCTCATGTGCCAGGGAAAAAGTGACTGAATCCTCTTTGGCCTTTACTCATCCTAGTACACAGCAACAAATGCTTATGTGGAAATCCACTCCTAAGACTGTATTACTTCTGAAAAAGCTGGGTCAAGAGCTCATGGAAGAAGCGAAAGAGGTACCACAAAAGCTGAATTTGGAATCTTGAATTATACCTTTCGAGTTTAAAATGACATATAATTTTATAGGGAAAACTCCATCCCTAATCGTTAAGGGGAATAGGGAACTGTAGATACTGTGTGTGACACTTTCAATCAAACTTATAAGCGTATAGGTTCTCGTTGTGTCAGAAAATAAGTGGAGTTTGTGCACTTTTCTAACTATGGTCTCTTCTGTTTGTTGGACTTTCCTCTGCCCAAAACTGACAAATACATGGACCCTGTAAAAATGAATAGAAATATGTCAAGCATTCTGGATAGAATATTGTGTTTGTTCAAGTTTAAAGCTTCTGAATTCATTTTTCATGGATGACTGTTGTGGAATTCTGAATTCTGACTTTGAACGTTTCTCTTTCGTCCGCGATAATTTCTGTCCATTCAAACATTATCCTTCATCTTATTTTGTAGGTAGCCTCTTTCTTGCATCATCAAGAGAAGATGCATGTCCTTGTCGAACCTGATGTACATGACATATTTGCAAGAATTCCAGGGTTTGGATTTGTCCAAACCTTTTATAGTCAAGACACCAGGTACAGCATTTGTGATCTTATGACTACGTCGATGTAATTGTTACATTTTCCTTTTCAGGGATTTGCTTATCCTGTTTTGTGCTTAGTGCAGTGACCTGCATGAGAAAGTTGATTTGGTGGCATGCTTGGGTGGAGATGGAGTTATACTCCATGCATCAAATTTATTTAGAGGTGCTGTTCCCCCGGTTGTTTCGTTTAATCTGGGGTCCCTTGGATTTTTGACTTCTCACACTGTAAGCTCTTTGACTCAAGATTTTTGGTTTCTTCTGATTAACTCCAACACTAATGATTTTTTGTTTGATAATAATAATTTTTGATACAGTTTGATAGTTATAGGCAGGACTTAAGACAAGTCATTCATGGAAATGATTCACGGGATGGTGTCTACATAACTCTAAGGATGCGTCTTCAGTGTGAAATATTTCGAAATGGCAAAGCTATTCCTGGGAAGTTATTTAATATTCTCAATGAGGTTGTTGTTGATCGAGGCTCCAATCCATACCTTTCTAAAATTGAATGTTATGAACATGATCGACTCATAACAAAGGTGGGTTCCTTTTTGGAAATTAGTGCCGCTAATATGTTGGCCATCATATTTTATCTTCAAGAGTGATATCATTTGAACAATTGGCTGCAGCCACCAATTATATGAAAGTCAATTCTTGAGTGGAAATGATTTTCAGGTCCAGGGCGATGGAGTCATTGTGGCCACACCTACTGGAAGTACTGCTTACTCTACCGCAGCAGGGGGTTCTATGGTAATCTAATGTTTTTCTGTCGCAGGCAACTATTTTTTACTGACTCATAAAATTTTCAAAACTTTTTAAATAAATCTTGGTTTTTTTAGAGTATTATGAATTGTTACTTGTACTTTCTTAAAATACCCAAAAATCCTCTGACCTCTCAGTATTTACTCGATATGAAATCCGGGGCTAGCCACAATCCTGCATTGTCTGAAATAGAAACTTAGGAGATATTTAGTATTGCAAATAGGTGGCCACAAGCTTGAAGTCATTATAACTTAGTTGAATTGAAACCATGAGCCTTAACCACTATGTTCACCATTTGGGGTTTTCTGGACCTTTAATTTCCTGAAAACAGCAGTTTTGCTGTCATACTGATTCTTTTTTACATATCAACTTATTGAAGTGGCTTGTGGCCATAGGTATGCATAATGGAAAATGTAGTTTTTGAAAGTGATTATGGAGAGCTCGGGTGAAATTACTGAGTTTGTTAGCTTCTGCTCGACTTATGTGTTGTGTGGCATGCATCTTGTGCAGAAATCATAATATATCTCTTGTGTTCTCTCCCGACTCTCGCGTTACTGTCATACCTTTTTCCTTCTTCTGAGACTGCTATTTTCATTATCCAATTGCACAATAAAATATCATTACTAGCCCTCCTTGCAATAGAGGGTAATTTTGTTTACCTTGTTACTTAAGTTATGAGCTTTGGCGAATATACTTCTTTTTATGTCACACAGAAAGTTATTTGATGTAGAAAGCAAGAAAAACGCTGAGTAGTGCTGCTTTTATTCTTTTAATAAATGTGACTGTTCATCTTTGAACCGATATTCTTCTATCTTGCAGGTGCATCCGAACGTTCCTTGCATGCTTTTTACTCCAATCTGTCCCCATTCTCTTTCATTTAGACCAGTTATACTTCCAGACTCTGCACGACTCGAGTTAAAGGTGATATCATTTAGAACAACGCTATTGACACAGCCTTGTGTCGATTCATACCTGCAATGTCTTTCAAGTTATTTACATAAGATTCAGATGTCTATACCTCCGGTTGCCTATAATATATTACACAGGGATTAAATGCATACTCGTTTCGAGATTAATCTACTACAATAGTTTTGATTCTTGTAGCTTAGTGTTTTAATTGAAGATGGTGCTACTTATATCGACAGATTCCCGAGGATGCGCGAAGTAATGCATGGGTTTCTTTTGATGGAAAGAGAAGGCAGCAACTCTCCAGAGGAGATTCTGTCAGGATATCCATGAGCAGGCACCCGCTCCCAACCGTAAATAAGTCTGATCAAACCGGTGATTGGTTTCGCAGCTTGATTCGCTGCCTCAACTGGAATGAAAGACTTGATCAGAAGGCCCTTTGAAGCCACACCATCAACATCATCTCAGATCAATAAATCAGGTTTCTGTAAATCACTGTACAGATATAGAAAATTTGGCTTTTACAGTAAATAGTTCAGTTTCTCATAGGAGGATATAATTGAACTGTCCTTTCTTTTCTCATCAGAAGTGAAAGAAAAGATGGTTGTATACTGTCATTTGATAGGAATTTCAAATTGGAACATTGAAGTTTCAATGGGTATTGAAAAAAAATTAATTTATAGATTTCTTCATCTGCCTTCTCTCCAAATAATGCAACCTTTCATTGTGATTTGTGCACCTAATTCATGGAAATGGCTCTCACCCATTGCTGTTGAATCTTGTTTAAAGTGGAGATCAAGTGCTCTATAGTCACCGTTTGTTAATGGTATAATGTTATTTCATTTGTAAATTACACATACATTAATGATTGATAAGCTTTGTTACACTTACAAGTGAAGAAAAAAAATTGCTATAATGACCAATCTATGTTGTGAACCCAAAAACTTAATATAGCAATATGAAAGGTCTAGGTGTTTTAAGTTTTGAATTACTGATTTAAATACTATGTTGGTCTTTCTATTTTCGGTTTTAGTTCATTTTGGTCTATAAAACGAACATTTTGATCATTCTACTTTTTAAAAGTGATCATTTTAATTTTTATTTACAAAATTTTAACACAAATTTTACGTATAAAGAAAACTCTCTAATAATAAATTTACGACTATATTTCAAAAAATTTCGTGCGTAAAAATTATAAAAAGAAAAAGAAAAATCCCTTTCTAAAAGTAAAATTCATATATTAAAAAATTTCTAGTGCTCGTACATAAAAAATTAGAGGAGAGGATTTTTGCTCTAGAAGATAAACTTTTTCCCTATTTATAAATGGAAAAAATTTTTTTCTTTAACACTATTGAATATTTGACGATTAATTGAGAGAAATGAAAAAAAAATAATAAGTTATAAAATATTTAATGATATCAAGATGGAGTTTTTCCTTGAGCCAAATTTTTTCCTTCAATAAATTCAGCTTTTAAGCTTCAATTATGTTTCTCAGCTTCTATAGAAAAAAAAAATTATTATTATTATTATTATTATTTTCTGATAACATTTTTACAATTCCTTTTACATTATAATTTGTATTATAATGGGCAATAGCGAAAATATAATTTGCAATTATTTCTAGTTTTTTTAAAACAAAAAAATGTACTTTTGATACGACACCGTTTCGCTCTTTAAACGCGAAGTATTAGAGCAGGTTAGTAAGGGGGCCATCGACGTAAACCGTCGACGCGTCGTCTGAGAAGAGAGAACCGAGAGCCTCTGCGATTGAGCTGCTGCCTGAGGTATTTGCTTAGCTCTCCTTCGATCCATTAGGTTGCTGGGAAATTCATGTGGAAAAGATGAAATTGGATCTACAATTTACTTTTCTATGTACTCGACTGAGCAAATTTGAACTGAATTGCATCGTCCTTTGGTTTTTGCTTCAAATTATTTATCTTTGCTCCGCCTTCGATTGATTCTGATTAGTCGATTCTTATAACTAGGTTATTTAGAACTAATCTATTGCTTGTAGTGGAGGCGTGACGCTGAGATGTTTGTTCCCCCTGTGGTTTTGGATCCGCATTTTCTCTTTCTTTTTTAATTTTTGTACATGTGAGGCTCCGAATTATGCATTCTCAATTGGGTGTATTTTGTTGCTCATTTTAATCACTGGTCTAGTTGTTTGGCTGGTTTGTGATTTCTGTTGCTGTTATTATTCGTGGTTCGATAGTTGATGATTGTTTTTGTGCTTGTGACTATTGAAGGCAATGGCGGGGTCTGGGAGTTCCATGCTTTACTCATTTCTTCTGTTCATTGTCATTCTTTCACTTCAAGAGATGTATAGAGGAAAGTTGGCTTCATCGGAATTGTTTACCATACTTGGAGGATTCACCAGTTCTCTTCTATTTCTAGTTCTTCTAACGGTGAGTTCAAACGCTTTCTATCCTTTTATCAGCTTGACAAAACGTGTGATGCATTTCATCTTCTAGGGTAACTGGATCTGGTGGCTTTTTCGGGAGGGAGTTTAGAGAAATTCTGGAATAACTCCAACCCTGTCCCCTTAGCAGCTGCATCCACCTTTGTCACATTTTTTTTGCCTGATATCGCTTGAATAAATTGTGGGATATTTTGTCGCCTTCCATCATGCATCGATTACAACTTACAAGGATTTGTGCAACATTCCTTTGTCTACAATTCTAGGCACATTTATTATAGCGTTGGAGTCCCCATTTTATGTTTACTTCCAGTCCAATCTCGTTGTATGAGAAATGGTTTTTCATATTAGAAATGATGCTGTCAAGTGTTATGGAACCATTTGTATTTCATGCATTTAAGACAAGTTATGCAATGCCTCAGCTGCATGCTGATTGCTTCATTCATCAGCATGTATACAGAATTTTGAATTTGGGATCGTGATCTATTGCTTCTATTACAACATGCTGTTTTTGAGCTCAATTTACATTCAATTTATGCTTTTCAGCTTAAATTTTTTATTCATCATGATAATTTGCATTCTCTTGATTTATTTATTGCAGTTCATAGGAAACTTCCAGGAAGCAAGTGGCGTGCGAACTGGATGGGGAGCTGGTAAGTTTAGTCGCTTGTGTTCTTGTCTGCACAATCTTTTTCTGCTTAATAAGTTTGTCTGTTTCTAGTGCAGCAGACTAGAATATTTGTTGATTTCTTGTATAATTAACTACAACGAAGCCTAACTGTTTTCTACAAATGTTTCTTATAAAAAAAAACTGTTTTCTACAAATGTTCATAATTGTTATTGTTAATTTAAATAATTAATCCTCACATGCTGGGGGAGGTTAACACTCATGGCAACTACTATATACTTTTATGATATCACCGAGTGGCTAAGTTCCAATAATCAATTCCTTAATGCCATTGAATGTTGATGATTTTCGAGTGAGTTGAAATAAATTTGTGTATGGACCTAGTTATGTATTTGTGGCTGCTATCAATACCCATATCTTCATATCCTACTGCTTTGATTATGCTTTTGATTGAATGCTTGTTGATTATGTCCTACACTTGATTCGTCAATCATGCATGAAATGGAAATTTCATTGTTTAAAATAGTTCTCTCCTGATTTTGTGCTAAAGCTCTACTCTTGAAGAATGTAGAAAGATCGTAATGTGAGCTGTTGTAATGCCTGCCAATAGAATCCATTAGATTTAATGCTATTGTTTGTAGACATTCAAATTCAATTGCAAATTTGTTCTTTGAAGTTGATTAAAAATGAGCTTGGAAGGTTGGAAACTTTGTCCTCAAGATGCTATTTTCTTTTATGTTCTTCTGTAACAAATTAATTTTCCTTGATATTGGTTGAAAACCTTAATGCGAGTTAATTCTGTAGGCTAACATAAACAACAGCATAGTGCCTGCATCTGCCAAGTTCCTTGGAGATGAATCAGAATTAATTAACCAGTTACTTTTCTTGTGTAGTCATTGTAGCAGAAGCAGTTGCATTGATTGCTGCAAGCACTGTTCATAGAGTTTGCATCACAACATGGTATTTTGACTTATCACACTTTTTTACTGTTTTCGTAGCTACGTCCCATGGGAGAAAAGAATGGAGAAGGAACCACCATAATGAATAAATACCTCACAAAGATTAAAAAAATTGTGATTATAAGGCTGAAAACCAATCCTACCATTAAGACTTGAGACATTTATTTACCCTTCAAATATTGAGATTTACAAGAACCATATCAAAACAATATGATTGATTCTAAAATTTTGAGTATCTTGAGAAATTACTGTTTTCTTCTGCTGCAGTTTCTTGTTCTCCGGTGGACTGCTGTATGAGTTGAACAAGCTTTCAGGGGTGGCGCTTTCTAAAATCGAATGTAGAGGCAAAAGGCACTGAGATGGAAACTAAGCTCTTCAGACAGGAACTACGTTTTTGAGATTTTATATTTCACTCCCTCTAGCTACTGCAGGATCACTGCACCCTATGGTGCTGAGTAGTTTGTTTCTGTTTTTGATTTGGGGGAGAGGCCGGCAATGGGAACAGTAATTACATTTATCATTATCATAATATTAACGGTGGTGTTAAGTTGACTTTACTGCCTTCAAACTATATTTTCTTTCTTTGGTATGGAATGTTTCCTGATTAGAGGTCCTGTCGCTTAGTTAGGAACTGCCCCCTAAATAATAGTCGCTTGCTGTTTACCTTCATCTCTAAAACGTTTACCAATTTGCTACATTCAAATTCTTAAAATAATATCTTCAAATTTTCTCATGCATTTATTAGTTTGAAGGTAATGGCTGTGGTAGGCTAACATGTAACTTTTGCTGTGTTATTGTCAAAATCATAATAATATTTTATAGTGATATGATAAAAGTTATGTTAAAATTATTTTCAAATGTGCCCCCAAGTAATTTTTGTAGAGGGGCAGCTCTCGACATTTGTCAGCAAGCACTTCCAAAAGCAGTGCCTGCTCCCGTCCTTACTCTTTAATCTTCCTAATAAATAATTATAACAAGAGAACGAAAATACGGTCCATGACCTGAAAATTTTGCTTTTGAACTATAATTACCAATTAGTTTGCAGTTACATGATGGGAGTAAAATAACTACTACACATGCAGGGTCGAAATTAGGGCAGAGATTGGTAAACAACTTTTTCTTCACTCCAAGCCAAAAAGATTTAAATGCATAGCCTGTACGCTTGATCAGATATAAATAAAACTCTTCAGCAAGATCGTGCAGATTCTGCATACAACCACCAGCTTTTATGGTTTTGAGAAATAGCTTGATGCTTTGCCTGTAAAATCACTTGCAAGTGAACTAGGATGAGGCTCAAGCGAGAAATGGCTCGAGACTTCGTCTGGAAAACAAACACTTATCTGTCGAAATCAGCAGTGGCAACTCAAATCCATCTGACCCTCTTGCTAAGCCTTTGTAATTCAGCTCTGCAAAAGCAGTAAGAAATGCACTTAGAGAAACGAATTGGTTCCCCCACCACCCATGACCCATCCCACCAAAAGAAAGTAAGAAAAAGAAAAAGCATGTCATTCAGCCTGCAAATAATAATATAATGAAATATGGGAAACTTGAAAAGAGTGAATGTGAACAGAAACTATAAATCCTAGCATTGAAATAGTATACTTTATCCAAGTTTACTTTCTCTATCAATACTAATCCAAAAACCGATGTATAGAAGCAATAATATTTGCATGCATGTTAAAGTGTAAGGCTACTTTTAAGTAATTAATCTTTGATTTTTTCAATGTCCAACATTATGTTCTTTTATTGTTGGAAAAGTTAGTTTGCAGGCCGAATATGCAATTTCCTAAGAATCCAGTGTCAAAAGAAATAATGTCTATACATGAGACCTTAAATGCAAAGATAATAGGTTCCTTTGAATCAAATACTGGGATAGCAAGTGAGGCTTAGCGAATTCAACTCAAAGAGCAGGCCAACAGGGGAAATGGTTACCTGACAATGGAAAAAAATATTTGGTCCTGCTGACAGAAAGCAGACCTCCAAGACTTCGTCTCGGCAGCCAGGCACCAGCCAGCTGAGATTCCTCAATCACACAATGGCTCCTTGACAAGTAGATTCATTTTCTCCTGCAGAAATTTTAGAACGTCTTCTCTTCCTTCCTTAATCAATAAATGTCTCAACCTTCCAAATGTGACACCAGAAGGCCGTATTCCCTTCTCTATCATCTCTTCCAACAAGATAGAAGCTTTCGTAGCATTGCCTGTCTGACACAGTCCATTAATGAGAACAGAAAATGTGTGCATGCTCGGAATGAACTGCTTCTTCTTCATATACTTCCAGACTTTAAGAGCCATATCAAGCTCCTTCTTCCCACAAAACATTTTAATGATCATGGTATAAGAGTCTACATCTGGTTCACACACCCTGACCATCCTGCGAAATATTCTAAATGCTTCATCTGTTTCCCCACTGCCTATTAAGCTGTTTATAATGATGTTGCAGGTCCTCGAATTCGGGTGAACACCCTTTAAATCCATGTCCTTTAACACCCTATAGACATTCTTAATCTTGTTTGCTTTACAAAAAGCAGTGATTAAAGCATTATATGCTGCCACATCAGCTGTAACTCCATTTCTTTCCATCTCCAAGAATGTAGAGACTGCATCCTCAATCCGATTTTCTACGCCATAAGTGTGTATCAAAACGCTATAGACGAATGATGATGGTTCACAATTATTAGAATCCATTTCTTTTACAATCCCAACTGCCTCGTCGACTCTTCCTGCCTTGCAAAGAACATCAACCATAATGCTATATGTCACTACATCAGGAATGCAGCCGCTATTAATCATTTCTCTAAAAACCTCCCTTGCCTTGGGAAGATTTGGAGCCCTACCCCATCCTTCAATGAGTATGCTGTAGGTTTTTGAGTCAGGAACAAATTGGTCCTTCATACTGTCAAAAATTTCCTGAGCCTTCCTCACATTCTTGGACTTGCAAAGAGCACTCAGCAACCCATTAAATGCTGCTACATTGGGTTTCATGTTATATTTTTCCATGACATTAAATGTATATACTGCTTCCTCAACTTTCTGAGCTCTAGCATACTTCCTCATGATAATACAAAAGGTTTCAACATTTAGAATCTCCTTATTCCTCATATCATTCACCAGATCCCACACCATCTGGTACTGCCTTATCTTAGCTAAGGACTCAATCATAGAGTGGTGAGCCCTCACACTATGGACATAATTTCGTTGCTTGGAAGCCCATTCAAAGAACCTGTGAGCTAACATGCCAGCATTCTCGAATCTTTTGAGGACAGCCTCAGCTATCTCAGGTGAAATCCTAATCCCACTTTGGTCAAGGGCGGTATCAAGCGCCAGGGTTTGGCATGTCATCATGATTTTACATATACGTCGGATTGAATCCGATACCGTATCAATTTGTTCACCAGAACTATACAGCCTAGCTAACAATCTACATACTGGAAATTTATTATTTCTCTGATAGCTGCAAATTCTCATCATGGTACCAGAATTGAACTTCGCCTCAAACAGTGTCAATAACATGAATACAAGTAATGGAGAATAAGATTGTGGAAGAAACCGCCATTTAATTGAATGCACAGCCTCAGAAAGTTACTCATTCCCAAACCGAACTATTGCTAGTTCAAATTTTTGTCAGGACAATAAAAAAAAGATAACAGAACTAGAAAAATTTTATTAATCCATTACAACTCCAAAACAGCGAGTGTGTCGTACCGTTGTCATCTTCTTCCTCGCGCCACTGGAAGAACGAAACGACGGCAGCGAGAGCGAACAAATTCCTTCCGCCTGGTGGCCGATGACAGTGATGCTCAGTGCGATACAACTTGGTGTATAATAATGGCACCGGACTTTGCTTAGAATTTCTGCTCCGATGACACAGTTTGTACACTCCGACGAATTTTAGGGGTTTTGATTTGAGTCACTAGAAGCTGTTTATTGGTTCAATTCTATTGAAAAGAAAAAAAAAAAAAGAAAAAAAATCAATTTTTCACCGTAAACATCTTATTTTCGATTTAATGAAAATCAACCTAAGCACAAAATTAAGTTTAATTAATTGATTTGATGATTAATAATTCTGGCAAAAACTTACAAATTTCAATAAAAAAATGTATCCTCTGAATTCTTTGGCGAATGAAAATAACGTTTTACAACCAATTTTCAAATAACAATTTATCAAAAATAAAAGTTGCAACATTTTTAAAATTTAAGGTGGAGATGGCAACACTTTCCAAAATTTAAAATGTTATCGGGTGAAATTGAAAATTTATGGTTTAAACTTCATTTGAGCCCATAAAAAACTACTTTTGATAGTTAACTTCAAAATATGCTTCTTAAGTGAGGTGACAATATATATACATAAACTAATTATGTAATTTTTTTAAAACGTAGTAATTAAATTGTATTAAAAACTTAACGTATCTAAAATTGAAGTTTTAAGAATATAGTATCTAAAATAAATTAAAATCAAAATTAAATGGATAAAATAATATTTAAAGATTATTATAAAAAAAAACTATTAACGTGAGATTCAAATCCTCACCAGGTTGAATAAAGCTAATTTAATAAAGTAATTTCTTTTAGTAACTAATTTATCTAGTAAATATTCCATAAGCTCACGTGATAAAATTGATGAAATTTCCATTGCTAGGGTATCACCGACAGGGTGAGCAGCTGTTTGCCTCGTGGCTTCCACTCAAATATTTATACGTACACAGAGAGAAGACCAGGGGGGCACGAAGCTGTTTCGTTATATTATTTTTGGATTAATTTAAATTTACCTGCTCCTCTCCTTCCATTTTTTCCCCTCAAAATCTTGTTTATGGTTCAATTATCTGCGGCATTAATTCTTCGTTCTTCCCCACTTTTTAGTTTTTATTAATCGCCAATCCCCTTCCTCGATCCGCCGTTCTCCGATTCCTGTTTTGTGCAGTTTTCCAGTTCCTTTTATTCGGATTCCAGCTCGCTTTTGCTTTGGAGAAGATTGGTTTTGCGTTAGGAAGAAAAAAGGGGGAATAGAAAATTCTCACGCTTACTTTACTCTTCATCGAGGTCACGGGATCAGAATTCGTAGCTAAAACTGTGATCCCATTGTTTTGATTTTGTGATTACGCCTGCAATGGACGAGTTTGGGGTATTAACCGAAAGATTTGGATTGAAGCCGCAAGGAAAATCGGCTCCAATGGCTGCCTCAAAGACACCCACTACCTCAAAATCCTTCCAGTCTCGGAATTCCGGGTACAATTCGAGTTTGAACGGCAAATCCTCGTTCGATTCTGGTTTTGTTGACGTATCTTTTCAGAAAAACACTAAACCCGACAGTTACGGCGGGCTGGATGATTACAATGATCTTTTCGGGAGTCTCAATCATTCGACGAAAAATTTGGGGAATTCCGCTAGTGCTCCGTCTTCTTTTGGCTACGATTCAATATTTTTTGAGCCGAAGAATTCAGATCCAGCCTATGATGATGTATTTGGTGGGATTCCCGGATTCAAGAGCTCGGTTACAGCAAAGACGGAGGATCCGCTCCGATCATTCTCCTCTTCTTTGAATCAAACTTCTCAGATTGATGATTTGCTAGGTGATTTTGGCAGCAATGTGACTAAGACAACTACTCCGAAGCCGAACGGATTAAAAAATGCAGCAAATAACGCAGCCCCTTTTGATGAATTGATTTCTGGCTTTGGCAATAGCAACTCTCGAATTAATAGGTATAATTATTGTATGATGCTCGCAAAACTGGCCTGCATTGTTTGAGGTGCCTTCATTAAGTTATGTTGTTGGTACCAGAAAAATGTGGTTTAATTTCTAGTTTTTGTTTGTGAATCTGCTCTACCATCGTGCGTATGTGGATTAAACTTCTTAATAGACTGACATAGAATTATATTCATATATTGTGTATATCTAGCTTCTTAGATATCATATTGGAAGCTACTCAGTTTAATTGATAACTACAAGAAGATTATACAACTCAAGGCACAATCTTGGCTTCACAATTTCATTTCCTTTACTGTAAGATTAGTTTTATAATGGTATCTGTAACTTGTCGTTGATGAAATGCTTATAATTTCCTTGTTTTGGTTCCATATATGCAACATTCAAATCAGAAAATTAAAATTTGACGATACTTATTTCAAGTGACAAATACTAGCCAGCATACATTTGTTTCTGCTGATGAGGCATATTAATACTAGCTTAGCCTTGCTTACCAATCAAAGCATTTTGTTGTCAATGAAGTACAAACTAACTGGAATGAAACTGACAACATTGCCTCTGCAGTTAATACCATGATAGACTAGCAATTTTTATTTATCTTTAATCATGCGTAGAGTATTTACAATATCATTCAGCAACAGAAGCCCTCTTCAATAGGGGAAAACAAATTTTAATTGTTTTTGTAGAATGCAAATTTCTATCTTCCCCATGTTCCCTTTTTGCCGAACTCTCTATGGTTTCTACATGTTGCCATTGTTGACTAGATCATTTCCATGCCATTCTCTGCCCGCAGGTCCATTTTTCTCTTCAGTGTATTTACTTGAAATTTGATGCATTAGACTTCTATTTGTTTTCACAGAGCTAGCGTGCCAGACAAACTGTCCCAGCCATCAACTTCTCATACAACTAAATCAACTTTCAGTTCAGCAAGAGATCCTTTTATAGAACTAGAATCGACTTCACTCCCATCTTATAATTCATCTGAGGCTTTCTCAGATCCCTTGGAGGAAATTAGCAAGTTCAGTAAGTCTGGAAGCACAAAATTTGACAGCTCATCAAGCTCTTCCCCACCATTCAGAATTCCTCCAATACCAAAGCCAGGTCATAAGGCAGATAAAGGTGCTTCTGCTTCCCTAAATTCATAAATATTGGTATGTTCAATCTCATCATAATCTGACAGGATTAAGATGTTCTGTACAGTTAAGAGCTTCTCTTCCTCTCCTATTGATGAATTGGAGGATTTTGCGAGGGGGAATGTGCAGAATAATAGCAATGAAGGGAAAGTCAATGCTTCAACACGCACAGCGAATAGAAATAGTAAAGATGCACATGCTGCAGCAGTAAATAATCAAAAGACTGTAGATGATCTGGACTCCTTTTTCAATGTGGGTTTTCGATCAAAAAGTGTTCCAAGGTCACGAACAGCAACTGTGGTGAGAGCCATTGTTTCATTCAATCACCATCAAATTTTGTACAAAGGAAAAAAAAATGAAAGTTTGTTGCAGTTGCAGTTGGAGCAATATTATGCTTGTTTTTTTGTATCCTTAACTACTGTATGAACAGTTCTGTAAATGTTGTGGGGGTTATTTTTCAGGATCCTCTATTTGACGTTCCTAAATACAACAAACCACCTGAAATACCCAAGGGAACTTCTTCAGGAGCCTCATCCAACATAAAAAAATCTTCTTCTGCTGTAAATCTCGTGGATGACTTTGCATCGGTTTTTGGAGGTGATATACCATGGAATGATGCTTTAGTATATGATTATATGTAATTGATGACTATTTTCTTAATTATTTTTCTTCAATCCTTCAAATTTTGATTTCCCCCCCTCTTTTCTCTAATGGTAGATGCTCCCTCATTTGGACATTTTGAAGAAGTTGAGGGAGAGAGTGAAGAAAGAAGAAGAGCTAGATTGGGGCGTCTACAACGGACCCAAGAGCGTGCAGTTTGTGTTTCTCTTTCTTCTTTTCTCTTTGTTACAATTTGTCTACCTATTAGAGGCTAGATCTATCTAGTATCTTCTTAGATGGATATTCTTGTCATTGAATCAAAAGCAGTCCAAATAGATTCCTAGTAGGTATCAAGGCATAGACTTAAGGGAAAAGTGGGGTTCTTATCAAGTAATTATGGCAAAATGTTATCAAATTCTCATTTCCATTTTTGGCTTATCTTTAAACAGGAGAATTTACATCATCTTAATGTTTTAAATTCAGGCAAGAGCAGTGGCTGATTTGAATCAGCGTGACTTTCAAACACAGCATGAACAAGAAGAGAAGCGTGTTAGTATTCGATTGTTGTAATTGTATTTTGATTTTACAAGTATAGTTCTCATTTAGGTAAAATACATAGGTTTGGTTGGTTTAATGCCAGTTTTGTTTGCTTTGACCAGAGGATTGCTGAGTCTTTAGATGCTGATATTAAGCGCTGGGCTGCAGGGAAGGAAGGCAACATGCGTGCACTGTTATCATCATTACAATATGTGCGTTTCTTGGTTTTAGTTTTTCTCTCTACTTCTGTTGTTCCTTACCAAGCATCCGTTATTTTCTACTTTTTTTGTTTTTTAAATGTGAACTGTACAATTAGCTAAGTACTTTTTGACTCTTGTCTCTAACAAGTAACAACAAGAGAAGAGTAGAAGATCTTAATATGCTCGTGCATTTCCCCTTTAATCCACCTGAAGAGAAGAAACTTCTCATTTTTGGAATTGCTTTATGATGTATCAAAGTACCTAAAATGTAGGCTAGTATTGAGGATAATGGAAAATCAAAGTACCTAAAATGTATAAATTTTCCTTTTGACTTCTTACAGCAATAAGTCATTGTTGGATCTTGCAATAGGCTTGTTTTAAGAGGATACAAGAAGGCTTAAAACCATCAATTCTCCTTTGGTAATATTGTTAATTGTAACCACTCTTAAGATGTGTTTACTTCCCCGTCAATTGATGATGCTTGTGAGGAGAGGACTTGATCATTTATTATTGAATTGTATGGTGTATGATGTTTATGGGCCATGACCTTGGATACTAATTATTGATTCTGAATTCAAAAAATTATATCTAACATATGCTTCTTCGGGTTTTGTTGTTCTATTCCCAGGGGCTGGAAGGACTACTGATTCTTTCTTTTGTTTAATCTCTTTTTACCCACAATATTTGTGTTTATTATATATTTATACATACACAGACATTCAGAATCTCTTGTAGACACTTAAATAGTTATATACATAAAGAAGCCACCTCTAACCTTAAATTAGGAGAGCACACATTGAACCTGACCAGATTTTATGGCTTTAATTGGCAACAATATAGATTCATTCAGCTATTGGCATGCTAATTAATCTCCACTCTACTGGTGATTAGGTTCTCTGGTCCGAATGTGGTTGGGAGCCAGTTTCATTGACAGATATGATTACTTCTACCTCAGTTAAAAAAGTTTATAGGAAGGCAGTCTTGTGCATCCATCCGGATAAGGTTCAACAGAAGGGTGCCAGTATTGAACAGAAATATACTGCAGAGAAGGTTTTTGATATCCTTAAGGTGACTTGCCAATATTCTCAATTTCTCCTTTTTCTTCTTTCCGCTCTGCAGCACATTCCAATTTTGGTTTAAATTTGGTATCTGGTTTTTAAATGATGAGGAAGAATGATCTTTCAAGGTAGTTTACATGTTAGAGAATTGGGTTATTCGTTTTCACGCGCTTTTAAACTGAATGTGGATACTGATTATTTGTAGATTTATAGATTAAGACCTGATGATTTGATTTCCTATTTGGAAGGTTTCTGTCACAAATTATAGTAGTCCTAGAAGAACTAGACAAATGATTGTTTTTTTTACTATTCTTTCCATTTTTTCGGGGACTTTCTTGTCTCAACTAGGGTGGAGTAAAAATGTGCAATTGTTCCCCTCCTTCTTCACTCCGTCCGTGGACCCAGCAATACTAGTTTTGCTTGTTTYGACTGTCATCTCTTACTGTCTAACTCGTTTTGCAATGAAACAGGAAGCTTGGAATAAATTCAGCAAAGAGGAACTTTAGAGACACACCTTCAATGATTGTTTTCTTCAACGTCAACCACCATGTCACTGTCAAAGTATGAACATCCTAATTGGGGAGAGGAGACTAAATAAACTAGCACAACAGGAATCATTTGCTTTCTGCAGGTCAGTCTTGAGAATGTCTTGCATTCGACATGTTCTTGGAGAAAGATATGAAGGGTCGTGACTACTTGACATTGGGGTAATACCAGAAATTTGTATTTCATAGGCTAAAAGAAAACATAGTTTCATACCCAAATTATATTGTGGTTTACACGGTTTCACCATACAATAGAGCTGAGAATCCTCTAAATTTGCGCCAGATTCATTGCTTTTGTAGAGAGTTTTATTTCTTTGATTTTCCTCTTTCTTTCTCCTGGAAAGATCTTTTTTATCTGTCTTCTGTAAACTGTGTTTACTGAAGTGTACATTCAACCATTTGTATTGTTTGCTGGCAAGAATGTCCTTGAATTGTGTAATCATGATGAATCTCTTCTAAACGAACTTTCACATTCTTTTTACAGAATGACTCATTTTCTTAGTGTTAGGCCCTGATTTAGACATTTCTTTTTAATTACGTTTGGAAGGTTGGAAAGACAGGTGGTGATGCACAGTTTCATTTTCGAGCAACTAGGGTGCTGAAATTAGATCAAACCAAACTATTGGAAAGATTTGAATTGATCACTTTTCGAAATTAAATCAATCAGTTTCGATGATTTGGTCGAAAAAGGTGCAGAAGTAACTAGATTATCCAGGTTAATGTCACTCTCTCACGGGAGAAGAAAGCAATAGATTAGGCTTCTGTTTTTTAAACTGCTAAGGCAAATCTCTTCATTGAGTTGGCAAACTTTCATTTGCTTGTTGAACAAGCAAATGCGGTTGCCTCGACTTCCAAAGCCCCAGAAAAGACAGAAGAAAACGTTCAATGTACCAAAGAGTGCAGTTCTTGAGACATGGAACTCTGTCTTTGCCTGTAATCATTAATCCAATCGAAGTTGTAAAAAATTACAGTGAATAGATAGTGAAAAGAAACCTCTCGGCCTTTCCCTTGGTCCTTGGAGATTCCTCCAAATGTCCACTGCCAAAAAAGCAAAACCCACCAAGGAAGATAAGACAACGACAGCAATCTCTTCTACAGGCGAAACCAACCCACTAGCCACGAAGCCGCCGCTGCAAGTGGGCGGCCGCCGACTTGAGACTTTCCGGCGTTTGCAGCCTAAAATTATTGGTTAGGTTTGATATTTAGGGCTTCTTCTTTGGGTGGAGAAGAAGACTATTTCATCTAACTTTTCTTTGTTTACTGCTTTTGAATTTTGAATTGTGTATGGAGGGAAAACGAAGCTATGGCACGCTCCAGGATCTCTTGGTCATATATTTCAATTTTGAACCTTCTAATGAGTTTAATATCAAAAGTTTTGATGTCTCTTGGATCCGAGTCTTGGGATGGTGGAGCAAAGCTCCAACTCCCAATTGTCACAAAAAAGAAAAGAAAAGAAAAAAAAACCGAAGCCATGACTTTTTGAAGCACATCTTTCAGGTCGCCGATGGGAAAATTGATGTGCACCCTTTGGAGGATATGGAGAATCCCGTGCTTGAAAAGGAAGCGCTTGTGAGTGCGCTTGTGGGGGCTTGGATTTCGCCTAAATGGAATTTTGAGAGCTGCTTTGATAAGCTGGTGAGTTTCACTCTTGGAATCCTTGTACGTCTATGTAAAGTTTGGATTTTAGGAAAGCAGAGACAAAAGTAGAGAGAAAAGAGAAAAAGAAAGCAGAATAGGAAAAAAAAGGTAGTAGACCCCGCCCAAACATGGGGTGAGAAACACGTTTCTCGTCCCATGTTGTCTCAGAGGAATTAATCAACGAGAATAATTTGTGTAACTGTTGTTAGGTCGAGCATCAATGTTTATAAATTACGGGTTTATATCGATCTCATACGTTATCGTAAGTCGAATTTCTAGAATCTACTTTTAAACTACACACTCTTACTAAATGTTTGGCTTACATACTACAGAGTTGGACCAAACCTACGTGTGCATGTGATGTGAGTTTGTTTATTTGAAGCTATAAATTTGCTAATGATATGAGTTATATAAAATTATATTAAACGAATCCATGTTTATTTATTATTATTTTTTTGATAACATCGAATCTAGGTTTATAAAACTTGAAGTGTCAATTCGAGCATTTCAAAATAGATAAGACATCTATTACCTCTCATAAGATATTCGAAAAATTACATACTAAATAACTTAGAATACTTCATAATTTGTTCTGTTGTACAACACTCACTTCATAAATAGGACGCTTATTAGAATCGAGAGCCAAACGTGTTTTATATATCATTTATTTATAGACAATTCAAACACAAATTACATAAATGAGTGAACTGAATCACTCAACAGTGCATCTTTTTCCCACAGGAAAACAAAAGATATTCCACTTTCTGATTCCCATTTGCATATAGAAGCAAAAGCTGGCTGAGAATCATCTTATTCTGCAAGCAATTTTTCTGTCAAATTCAACTAGAAATTGCTATGGATGGTCCAAATTGATTTTATTAACAATTATTTAGCACTTTCAATGGTTCTCTTGAAGGTATCTTTGTCTGGCCAACCATATTCATTCATATTGCATGCAATGGAAATTCTCTCCCCCTTGGCTGCCCCTTCTTCTTCCCAAGAGCTAGATAGAGCGAGATTGGTCTCTCGATGACTTTCCATCTTTTAGGAAATGTTTCAACTTAAAAAAGTCAAATTACAAGTTTGGTCCCTGAATCATGAGAGTTGTGTCCGATAAATTTTTGAATTTTGAAAAGTGTTTTTGAACTTTCAAAATTGTATCAATACATCCATTCAAAATGAGTCTCATTCGTCAAAGACTTGTTAGATACAAAATTAAAAGTTGAAGGGATCTATTTATCACAATGTTGAAATTTTAGAGATTTTTTATAACTTTTTAGAGTTCGAAAATCCTATTAGAAGGAAGAAGATTTTATAGTTTAGAGAGAAAAAGTGACCATTTATAATGGCAAATGAATTTGATGATTTTAGACGTTTGGAGAAGCGTTTATTTTATGATGAGTTAGTTTAATAACCAATCGCATAGAGAATTATGAAAATTTGAAAGGAAGTGATCATCTATGATCACAAATATGGGATGACTTTTGAACCAATTAGGAGGTATTTAATTCAAGGGTTGAAAATCAATAGTACTAAATGGAAAAGAGATATACAAAAATATAAAGAATACCCAGATTTTACATGAAAAATGAAAAATGTTGTCGAAAAGTTACTCCAAGTTTTTGTTTAGCTTAACGATAATTGACATCTATCTTTGATTAAGAGATCATGAATTCGAATCATTTAAACCACTTGTACTAAAAGAACAAAATCTTCAATTATAAAGAATTGATAGTTGTACCGTTGCTTAAGACCAATTAAGATTTGGACATTAATTTTTCTCACTTTCGTTTCATAAACTTTCGATCCATGCCAAGAACTCGTGAACAGAGAGTGTTTTTTTAGTCCAATATAACTTGGGAGCTGTAAAGCTAACTCTACATTGTTACACAAAGTCAAATTTATTAAAATGGTAAGTCAAATATCACTTTATTCCTTTTAGACTTTTTGGAATTTAATGAGGCTGAGCGTTGAAACTTACACTGAAAATAAGCAAAACAATGGCTTCTAAATTACTCATTGAGTTGAAATTTGTTCATTTTTGCATTGTGAAATAGAAACATGATATAATTTGAACATGTACATTCATGATCCCATCTATTTCTTGGAAAAACCAGTAAAAATAACCAACAGAGAAGAGAAGCTTCAGCGTTTGAAGCCTTTTTTTTTCCCTAATGAAGAACTTGAATTAAAAATTAAATGGCTTTTTGTTTTTGACCAGCCCTCTTCCATTCATTGCAGCCCCTTGAGTTCAGTAACTGTGACTGTGATGAGTTCCCATTATAAATCCCTCTATTTATCAGGATCAATAAATTGTGCCAAAGGGCTTGTAGGACTTTAGATCTAGAACAATCCCGGCGACCGATCCGACCGCTGCTGCTACCGATATCACGAGGCAGGCAAAGCTTAATATTTGTAGGCACAACCATCTCGAACTCCAGTTCGGTATCTTCTTTTGCGCAATGTACATCTCAACGGGGAAGTAAACAGTGAGAGGCCAGAATCCGAGAGCACCGAGGAGGCCAACGACGTCGTTGAAGAAGGGAAGAAGCATCGAGATGAGGGTCGTGATGATCACGAACACCGTCCTCCAAACCAACCGGAAGAGGTTGAGTTTGTAGGGGCGGAACCCGGGGATCGGGACCTCGATATCTTTGGTGATGAATGGACTATCAGGAAACTTTTCTGAAGCATACTTCTCCAAGAAGGCAAAGAGGGGTTGGCAGTAGACTTGGTAGGCACCAACAAGATGGATGACAATGGCAGCATTGGCTATGTCAAGCAGCCAGTAAGGGTTGTAGAACCCGAACCCGGTGAGGAGATTTCCGGGTGACAAGTCCCCGAACGCGGCGTATCCCGCACAACCGCAAAGCATATAGAAGAGCGTCGTCACCGATACACTCACCAAAGTGGCCTTCTTCATCGTCTTGGCTTCTGAAGGAGGGGATCTAACAGTATCCTGTTTCCACAAAATACACCTCCATCAATCACTTCAACTTCATATCTAAACAAAACCGAACCGAAACTGATTCGAAACGAACCAATTCCCCGTGATTTCTACCTGAATTTCGATCAGGATGATCGAGTACGAATATGCAAAAGCAATGTCCCCAAGAGCTTGGAAGCTCCTCCACACTTTATCGGTTTGAGTCACAGTGCCAATGCCAATTCCAGTCAAACTGCCTCTGATTTTTCCAGCTCCTGAAACACATCAATCAAACAACAACATGCTCTTTCGTCAAATCCTAAAAAACATTTTCAAAACAAACAAACAAAACACGAAGTTTTGTCTTAACAAACTACCTGCAACTTGAGCAATTCCAAGCCCAAGTCCAATTGTTGAGTATGTAAAAGACATGACAGCAGCAACTATGGAGAGCCACCATAGCTGATCAAAATCCGGAATTTGAGAGAATATTATCTCTATAATACCAAAAGCAATCATATACGGATTGCTATTAATTTTACAAGGATCTTTCCCACCACTAGCGTGGAAGCAGTTCGACCTCTTAATCGCCCTGCAAATTCAAAACCCATTAACATAAATAATCAACAAGAAAAAAGAGGAAAAAAAAACCCAATTTTTAAATTTTCTCACATCATGCTTATGGCTGAGGCAATTGTGTACCCAATTGCCACTCCAACAAGATTCAGATATTGAACAAGCCCACATAGCTTCACATTCAGCCCACCTGGAAATCAAACAAACAGAGAACAAAAGACAGATTTTTTTTAAGTTTTTGCAGATTCTTCACAAAACCCATCAACTTAAATTACCATTTAATCTTTTAATTTCATGTTCTTACCGAGGTTGGCCTGAACGGCGTCCATGTAAGTGTAGTTTCGCTTGCCGGAGACAGGGTCGCCGGAGCGGTAACAGGCGGAGAGAAGAATGGAAGTGTAGTAAGTAACTAAGGAAAACAAGAACATAACCGCCGGACCGGCGACCCAGCCGAGCTGAGCCGTCGCCCAAGCCAGCGACAGAACTCCGGAGCCGATGACGGCTGTAATTATGTGAGCACTCGCTGTCCAAACAGTCCCTGTTTTATGAAAAAAAAAACATCAGCCAAATTCTGTCTGAAAATCAACCACAGAAATTTCGTTACAGAAAATGAAAATTAGTTACCGGTTCGCTTGAGCCGGCCATCGTCGTCAAAGCACTTCGAACCGCCTTGGGGAATCACGTCGGCGGAAATTCCAAAAGCCTGATTCTCACCCATCTTCAAATCAAACAACAAAAAGAAACAAAAAAAATTCAGCCTAATTTTTCAAAACCCTTTTGAAAACAGAGGCTATGAAAAATGCAGACTTCCGGCGGCGGAGGAGGTGGTGGCAGCCGCCGACTATGGCGGAGATGGAAGGGGAGAGGAGGGGTATATATAGAGATTACAGAGGACGGGAGGGAGGGTAAAACGGGAAAATGAAATCCACGTGTTGATTAAAGGCGAGTGGAATTGAAGCGCGTGGGTTGACGGCCGACGAAAATTTCTCACTCTCAGTCTCATTACAAGACATCCACTTCCCCACCACTTTTACTCAAAAAAATAAAAAAATAAAAAAAATAAAAAAAGAAAAAAGAAAATCTAGCTTCCTCTGAAGCTGCAAATGTTTCTACTTTTTCCCTTATTTTGTTGTTTTATATTATATAATATATTTGTTGTCTTATGATCAGAGAGAGAGAGAGATTTTGCTGAAATATGTTGCGTGTTCCAGTTTCATTGTACTGGTGATATTTAATTGCTTAATTCTAGTATTTTAAGTAAATATCAAACAATAATTTGTGCGCGTATGGTTTTACGACTAAAAATATCATCTATCAACTTGCCAATTAAAGCACAATATCTAATTTTTTATAAAAAATTAGATATTCCAATTTCTATTTAGATGTATTAAAAAATATACCATCTAGTATACCATTTTTTTCAAAAGAAAACAGGAAAACAGGAAAACAGGAAAAAAAGGGCCTACGGCATTGTCCTAAATTAGTATTCTAATTTCTATCATGCAAAAGTGAGATTTCTTTGGCCAAAAACACGGTTTCGGAGCTCAACATAAAATGAAAATTTTAAGTTGATTTCGTAACGTTTTTATTTTTTATTTTAATAAATTAGATTTTTTTTATTTAACTTTTAAAAATACGTATTTTTTTTACTATTTTTTTAGTTTTTAAAACGTTGTAAAAAATAATGCATATTCAAATCCTCTCCAAACAAACTTAAATTTTTTCATTCAGAAAATAAATTAAAAGAATAGTTTTCAAATATAGATGTTTCAATATGGCAGGTGTAAATATTAATTGCTCTTGTTGGAGTTTCTACGTTTTATTCATGAAATCTTCTTATCCCCGAATTCTAACAAAACCTCTAATATAAAATATTCTACAACAAGAGATGAATGTCTACTCCCGCCTAAATTTGTAATTAATCTCTAACTTTCTAAATAATATAAATATATAATCTCAATTAACTTCCCTATCTATACATAGATTATCATAAATATTGTATTTGAGGAAGAAGAAAATATGCCTAAGCACAATTTTAAATGTAGAGGTAACTTTTACCTCTGACTTTACGTATTAATGCTCAAGGACTTCAATCATTAAGAGTTCGTTTAGTAACGTTTTTTGTTCTCGTTTCTATTTCCTCATTTTTAATTATAAAAAAATGAATGACATGATCCAACATCCATGAATTCAAGTATTATAGAACAATTTTTTTATTTATGTTTTGGAACAAATTAGAAATGAGAACAAGAAATAAGAAACTTGTTTCGGTTATTTCCAAAATTTCAATACAATTTTGAGAATGTTTAAAAAAATAAAATGAAAAACAAGATATTTCTTAAAAAAATTGGAAACGAGAATGTTACCAAACGTACCCTAAATAACTCCTCCTAAAGAAAGAAGACTATATATATATATCACAACAACTCACTTATAAATAGTTTTGTTAATATCTTAACGAAGTTAATCAAAATTATATGTATCACAACAACTAACGGTTAGTATCATGATCTAAATCATACATCTTTTAGTTCAAATTTCTTCTCTTATTATTGCAAAATGTAATACTAAAGAAAAAGAAAGCTAAAACTAAAAAAAAAAAAAAAAGGTAGAGGATTTAAACACAAACACAAACAAAGCTTGAAATGCGATAATATTACCTTCATTTTGATCAAATTTCCCACCTCCCTTTCAGATGAACAAAAACTTTGGGATGCCCTTCTCTCTCTTGATCTCCAAAGATGTTTCTTTTTTTTCCTCTTTGTTTAGGAGAGGAGAGCGAAGGGCATGAGCATAGAAGATGAAATCTTTAATTTGAGTTGTGAATCCAAAATCTCCATAAAGCCCTTTATATAGCAAACAAAAAACAATATTCAAAATCTCCCTCTGCCTCTCTACAAAGAGAAAGAGGTCACGTGCGAGCACTCTCCTCCCACCATTATTTTATTTTTATTTTAATAATATTTGGAGGACGATGAAGGAGAATAAGGTTCTTGGATTGTTAAACCATCGCCATACACAAAAAGAGCGTAGAGGAGCAAAGGAGAGAGATTTAACACTTATTTTTCCTTTTTTTTTAATTTTAATTTTAATTTTAGTTATATATTATAATGTTTACAGTTTGCATGAAAGTGACATTATTAAAATAATCCCAACGCTAAGGACCATCACTCTTTGTGCTTCCCTTCTTCGCACTATGTTATATATATATATTAATTATTATCTGAAGGAAAGGAAAGTGCCATCTAAATCGTTTCCCATAGGTCGGTTTTGGGAATCATATTCTTCCCACCTTTTATTTTATTTCCCAATGACTGTGGAAAAGGAGGGCCGTTGTTATAAAGCTTTTTTTTCCCCTTTGGCGAAATATTTCATCGAAAAAATGAAAGTAAACTATACAGAAACAGAGAGAAATTCACTGCAAAATAGATCTACTCAAGATTTACCATTCTTAAAGAATTGGAATATAAGAGGAGACCAAGAATGATAAACCCTAGTTCCGCTCTTAATCACTTCTATATTCTATATTTTGTACTCACTTAAATTCTCCGAAACTTTTAAGCATATTTTTTTAGTCTCTAAATTTTTAATTCTTTTAAGTTTTTCTGGCAAGTGCTAATTATATATATATAATGGAATAAGTACGAATGGTCGAGGTGAAAATAAGATCAAAACCTATTTATATATTATAATACGCTCCAGAGAATTTTTTCTTCTTTTTTTTTTTTTTTTGGACTGAAAGAGAAGTATCTTTGAAGTTTGAATAGTCCGAATTCCCTATTTTTATAACTACGAAAGGAGTGAAAAAAACCACCATTGATATTGAATAAGGTATATTTCCTCTATCTCTCTCAATATATTTTGCTTTGTTGAAGGAATATTTGTCAAAAGTTTCGTTCATTGAAAAAGACTATTATATATATATATATATATATATATATATATATATATATATATTTGCACTCTTTGCTTTGCATTTATCAATAATAAATTGAAAAAGTAAGAATCTGAAGCTGTTTTGGTTGAGAGAAGCATATATCATTCTATAAAACATCAATTTCCAGATTCCATGTCTTTGATAATATCGCCAGCCTAAACGTTATTAATACAAGGGAATTAAATGGCTTAACCTCAAATATGAATTTTTATATTTTCGACCAAAATATTTGTAATTGAAGTGCTAATTTATTCATGCTGACACAATAAAAATCCAACAACTTTTAATTTTTTAAAAATAGAAAAAATATTTTCTATTTTGCATTTATCCATCCTATTTATCAAAAATTTAATAGTGGTGAGTAAAAAATGAATACAATGAATAAGAACTAAGTATTAACAAACGAAAATTATAACACTATTTTTTCTTTTTGGAGTCGTAGTCAATTTTTTTTAAGAGAGAATGACAAAATGTTAAATTATAATTTTCTGTTGAAAATTTGGAGAAGTAAAATACTGGAGAAAAATCTTAAAATCTTAATTTTTATAAGTGTTATAAAGTGTATAGATTAATTTATTATCTTGGTCAAATGGGAGACTAATTGTTAAATTAATTAATCAATTAAAGTGATAATTGAAGTAGGTTGCTGCGGGCCGGGGAAAGAGTTCGTTTTGTCAATACACGTGGTGAAACCACCAACATCAAACTTTGAGTTTAAATCCCTAGTGGGTTTTTTTCATCATTAAGAATCCAATAAGCTATTTAAATATTTAAATATGATTAATTAATTGGCCCTTTTGGTCTTCTTCCTCCCTAAAGAAATGTGGTGTTTCTAACGTTTAAAATATTTTTTATTTTTGAGATGACATAGACATCTAACACTTGTTAACTTCCTATTCGTTCTACTAATTATGCATATCAAAATTATTAAAAAAAAATCCTTAGTTTTATTTATCATAGTATGTTTTTTTCAATAGCATTAAAAATTATGGGGAAGATGAACTAAAAAAATAAAATTATATTGAAGATAAATCAAACAAAATATCAACTAAATATATGGTTATTAATCTTTAATCTTTATATTAATACTATTTTTTTTAGTGTAACATGTAGGGTGGGAGATCGAACTCACAACCTCTTAGTTGGAGTTGCTGACCTATACTTGCTATGACCCATATTAGTACTCATTGATATAATATCTAATATGATTACCATAATTATTATTGGTGAAGATAAATATATAATCTATTTTAATTTGATTAAATATATTTTATCTTTATTATATATTTCACTTAATTCATTCAAAATTTGAGAAAGGTTGAAATGTCAAGCCCTATGTTTCATCGATTGACATTAACGACAAGCTTGCAAAAGATAAACATAATTTAAAGTTTAAGATGCAATTAAAACTTTTTTTAAATTTTTAGTATTTCTAATTTAAGAAATTGCTCAAAGTTTTTTTGTTCCTACTTGTCATGGTGTTTAGTCTTGGAATTGACTTTTATATATATATATATATTTGGAATTAAGATTTAGAAGTCCTTTTTAGTAATAAAAAAAAAGTTTTGTTCATCATTTTGACCAACCCCACTAATCAAGTGGCTTGTGGGCTCTCACTTCAAAAACTAAATTAAACTAATAGATTCTATAGATATAACAAATTGAATCTATTTTGAAAAAGTAGGCACAAGTTGAATCCCTTGTTGCAATAGGGAAAAGAAGGTAAGTTTGGCTGTAAAATTAATACATAGCCTAGATTAGGGGTGTTTTTGGCAATTCTCTCATAATGAAAATTACTATATTTGAGAGTGATGTACAAGAGATTTTGAATAATAAAAAAAAGAAATTATAAAAGCTCGTAAGAGTGTTTTGTGATAAAGCACTTGTATAAGTGCTTTTTGACCCAAGTGAGGGACAGGAAAACTTAGTAAATTTTTTTTTTTATAAATCGAGATTGATAGTTTTTTTTAAGCTTTCTATCTCTATAGCCGAGAGAATTCGTGCCCATCCCAAGGATCGGACCAAAGAGATATAAAGAGTTTTTGGTCTTAAACTTATTTAAAAATTCAAGCACAAAACTTTATGGTAAATTATATAAGGTCATATACCCTTGTCAATGGGTTAGGAAAATACAGTACAGTAAAGCATTTTTAAGAGTGTGAAACCAAATGTAAAAATTATTTGTCACAAAGTCCGGTTTCCTAAAGTGTTTATGATCAAAGTAATTTTACTAAAATCGATTATTAAAAAACATTATGCTACATATCAATAGTTTGCTGACTTATTAATTATTACTTATAAGAGTTCTCAGAAGATGTGTATGTTGGCATAATTAAAAGATTATTTTTCCTTTTCTCTTTTAGTTAAAGAAATGTGGGAGCGAAAATTTGAACATCTAACATTTGAGATAAATGTATAATGTTTTAACTAGTTGAGCTATTGTAGCAGGAATTGCTTATCGTAAGTGTATAGATAAAGTTTTAATATAGTTGGTGAGTGAATGCCGATGTCGTCATCTAGATTGAGTTTCTAGCTCACTTAAGTACCAAAAATACAATTGTTCAATTTAATTAAAGAACCAAAATCAAATGGGAGAATAAAATCAAAACAAATAAACATGCAGTAGATAAAAACAATAGAGGGTAAGGACATTGATTTCACCCATTGAATCTATGAACCAATGTTTAATAACTCAAGATTCATCGAATTATTCATTCTATAAGCCAAGAACTCTCAAATCTCAACCACCTCTCCCAAGCTCCTGACCAATAAAGAAATCAATATCTCTATCTAGTTTCTATAACAAAAGTAAAGGTTTTATTGAACAAATCTTCTAACGACCTCTAAACGACTTCTAAATCTCCCGATCTTAAAACCTCTTTAGTTATGAATCTCAATTCTAACTTGAAACCACCTCTCCCAAACGTAACATTTCAAGTCTAAAATCAATCCATCTATTACCTAGTAGATTAAAGGCATTAAGCATAAAGAAACATGAATGGTTCATGCATAAACATTCAATCAAGAGAACTAAACAATCAATTCATAAAGTTCAACGGCTACATCAATTCCTAAGATAAGAGGTTCAACTTTTCATATTCAATGTAAAACAATAAAATCACAATGAGAAGTTCATAACAAAATTAGAAAAATCAAGGGAAGAGAGAAGAAATTAAGTTTGGCATATCAATCGTCTGTCCCTAAAGCGACTTCTATGATCTCGAGCCTTGAAAATCTCTTTTTTAAGCTCTCCAATGGTCTCCTTGCGCTACAAATTGGCCAAAAAGCCAAACCGCCAAAAAAACCTCCTTAAAACTCCTCCCTAAAACTCCTCCCTCTCGACAGCTGCAAAATTTATTAAAAAAAATTTGGTGTGCCAGCGCCATGACGCTATACATAGGGTCATGGCACTAATACACTATTTTACAAAATGCAAAATTTAAACTTCGGAGCATTGCGGTGCTCCAAGCCAGCATCGTGGTGCTATCTCCTCGGGTTTTTGATTTTAAATCTTGTTGTTATTCCATCTCTGTCACTTGGATTCCGATTTTTCTCTCATTTTGATCCAAATATGTCTCATTTCCTCCCAATACTTTATTTCTAAAAAATATATATCTTATTTACTTAAATCTATCGTGAAAAAATGAAAACTAATAAATAATTTCAACATAAACCTCATGAAATATAGCTCATTGGTGTAACTATACTAATTGATGTATAGATTTGTCTACTCAACCATTATTTATACACCAAAAATGCATTTCTTTTAAGTATTTAATTATGAAATTTGGAAAATTTTCGAAAAACTAATCATGTGTTCTTCTCTCCATCTCAACCAATGCTCATAAATGGAATATTAACAAAATATA